TGAAGACCAATGCAGAAAGTCATTTTTTCTAGCATTTTCATCTCAAATTCATGTATAAGTAGGTTAATAGTTGTAACACATGCAAATGTAGTATCCACTAGGTTAAGATCATCAACATATACAGCGATGATTACAAAACCAGTTTTATCTCATTTAATAAACAAACAAGGAATTAGTGGATCACTTATAAAATTATTTGTAATTAAATAATCTCATAGACATTGATACCACATGCGTTTAGATTGTTTTAAATCATACAAGGCCTTATATAATTTAATACCATGATATTGACTTAGAGCGGATTGATTTGGAGTTCTTGTTTCTAAGCTAAGTAGAACTTTCATATAAATATTTGCATCAAGAGAACCATATAGATATGCAATTACTACATCCATCAGATGCACCTCAAAGGTGGCATGAATTATCATTCCAATAATATGTCGAAATATAATTGAATCCATGACTAAAGAATAAAAGGATTTATAATCAATGCAAAATCATTGAGTAAATCCTTGAGCAAGAAGACGAGCTTTATAGCGAGTTATTTGACCTTAAGCATCTTGCTTGCATATTAATACGATCTTATATCCTACAAGGTGGAATGTAAGAGTGTCTACAATTGGACCAAAGACTTTCTTTTTACGCAAAGAGGCATATTCTTCATCAATAGCAGTTTTCTATTTTCACCAATTGGAGCGACACATCCCCTCCTCGATGGTTTGAGGTTCAAGATAGTCTTTCTCGCAAGAAAGGGCTTCTATAATTATATATGTAAATGATTCATCTATCGTAATAGATGGTCTGTCCCAAATATCATCTGTAGCATAATACAGAATAGATAATTCTTTACTCAACTTGTTCTTATTCCTTCCAATTTCAAGATTATTTTTCATATGAATTGAAGGTACATTATGCATGGATATATCATCATGAATTAGTAGTCCTACAAGATGAGTGGTAATTTTTTGAGAAATAATACTAAGATTAGTCAATTTTATAGCTTTCTTCTTACGTGGTTGCTTATCTGGTCTACGAGTTCTTTTAGTTATTGTTGTTATAACTTGAGATATTATAGTTAATGGCACTGCAATCTGAGTAGGTATATTCTGAGCTTTATTAATAAAAACTCTTGTAATTCTAAGTGCATCATTGAAGCCATCAAGTGTTTCATCTGCGATCTGTTTTAGATGCAAAATCTTAGTAACTTCAATTTCTGCCAAAGATGTCTTAGGATCGGGATTCATTGTAAATGTTTTTAGTACTTCAGATATGAGTATTTTATTTCTTTGTTGATTGGATATTCTTCCTTGAAGAGATGAAAATATATTTTCTTCAAAATAGCAATTTTACAAATGTGGATGTAATAATATGCTATTATTACATGAACAATACAAATAATGCTTGGTGAATCAAAACCAACATATATGCCCTCTTGTCGATGAATTCTAATAGTACATTGTTGAGGTTCTGGTACTGGAATCCAAGTACGGCAACCACATACTTGTAAGTGACATACATTTGGAACACAGCCTAAAATGAGCTCATGTGGTGAAACAATTTCAAGAGAAGAAGGGCCGAGGCATATTAATGCTGCAGCATGTAAAATTGCATGACCCCATATAGATGCAAGTAAATTTACATGAAAGAGGAGTGGTCGGGTAATGAGTTTTATACGCTTTATAAATGACTCTATAAGTCTATTTTGAGCATGTTCATATGGAACACAATATATCAACTCAATTCTTGTTGCAGTACAATAGTCTTCAAAAGACTTTGATGCAAATTCTTTTGCATTATCCATATGCAATGTTCTTACAGGATAATCAAGAAAATATGCCCAAAAACAAATAAGCATAGATATAAGATTAGAAAACACCCTATTTTGAGTTGATAATAATGAAACATGTGATTGTTTACCTAATGCATCAACAAGGACCAAAAAAATAATGAAATGGTCCTGATATTGGATTAATAGAACCACAAATATCACCATGCAATCTTTCAAGCATTGGTGGTAATTCTTGTAGAAGTTTCTAAATTGAAGGCCAAGTAATCATTTTACCTCACACACATGTATGACATAATTCCATAGAGTCTACATCCGTAGGCTTTAAATTGTGCCCAGTTATACATGGAATGATCTTTCTAAATAATGAAGATTTTGGATGTCCCAATCATCTATGCCAGAGAGAAATACGACTCTTTGTGATAGATGATGTAAAATTAAATATAATGGGAGGCCGAATCACAATTCGGTCTAAACCATTTTCTATAGCAAAAGTTTTTTCAACAACTTTATGGTTCTTTGCAAGAACAAAAATATCTTTTCTATTTAAAATAGCGGTCGAGAGGTGATAACCATTAATATGCACAACTTGGAAGCTGATCAGACTCTGAGGTGCTGAGGATACAAACATCGCATGTTTACATTTTATGATGGAATCCACAGATAATTTTACCATCAATGTGCCCTCTTGGAAACAAAATGCATTTGCTCTAGCCATGGTCATCATATTTTTAATTTGCCAAGTTGAAGCTTTTTCAATAAAAAATTATCTATCTTACAAAATAGTATGTGTTATTGCAGAATCAATGAGCGCATCATTTGATTCATCTTTGGAGGTTTTGTCATTTATATAAGCCTCTAAGTCATCAACACCAATTGAATCCATAGACGCATCTATGGTATGAACTTCATGAGCCTCAGCTCATAGTTTCTTATTTTTTTGAGAATATTTTAATAAAATATTCTGAAGTACAGCATGCATGTGCTAAATGTCCAATCATTCCACACTTATGACAAGAATGCATCTTTGATTTTTATTTTCTACTATAATTAATAGTAGAACGTTTATTCTTTCTATATGAATAGAAATGGTCATGACTATGACTACCCTCATATTTATAAGCATGTTTCTCATGTTTATATAATTTTTTTTTAGATTTTAAAATATTAAGTACATGAGATTTTGGAACTGTAGTTCCAATAGGACGAGCTTCCGCATTGCGCAAGAGTAGCTCATTTTGCCTCTTCGCAAGAAGTAGATAGGACATGAGATCAAAATGACTCTAAAATTTTATGTTCTTATATTGTTGTGCAAGCATAGCAAATATAGGAGGGAATGTAGAGAGAGTTTTCTCAATCATTTCTTCTTCAGAGATGCTTTGTGTATATAATCATAATTCTGAGATAATTCTATACAATTTACTATTGAAAGCATTTAAATTTAGAAAATCCAAGACATGTAAATGTATCCAATTATGAAGTACGCATGGAAGGAAAATGGTCTTTTGATGATCAAACCTGGATTTAAGATTCTTCCAAAGTTCTGCAAGATCTTCCATTTTCAAGTATTGTTGTTGTAATGCAAGTACAAGATGATGACAAAGGAGAAGAAGTGCTTTCCAACGAATAGCAAGAAGAATAGAAATACTTATTGTAGGAGATTCTTGAAACATAATGGCATCCTAGAGTTGTTCTATAAATAAATTTATTTTTGCCATTTTTGCCTATAATAGATAATTATTTCCATCTATAGTTGTCACGGACATATACATGTAAGCCAATAATGACATGTATAAATAAGTAGAAGTAAGTAAAAGTAGGTAAAAGTAAGTTAATTCTATAATATTTGGTATGGAAGCTTCTTAGAAGCTTTATAGACGCTGCTTTGACTTTATTCGTATCTTTAATTGACTTTTTGGGGTTAGAAACGTGGTCAACAAGTGGGCCATGTACCACACATATTATTAGCTTGAAGACCAAGCTAACTATGTGACCCACACATAGAAAAACTTGCTTGATAAGTCAAGGCATGTGTCCTATAAAATCAACCCATATTGGAGATCTTATAGAATGTCGCTACATAGCCCCTAATTAGATAGTATATATAGAGACAAGAATGAAGCCTTCTTCACTCTTGTCAACTCCTTTCTTACTTCCAGTGTAGTTTCAAGGATCTCTAGTTTTCTTGGCTTTTGGTAATAGCCATTCTAGTTTCTTTCTTAATATATATTTATCAAATTATTTCTATTTTGTTATCTTTCTTTGAGAGAAGTCTCACTTATTTATTTGTCTTTATCATATTCTTGTCCTTGACAATAGTCAATGGTAGAAATAAAAGAGCTTGAAAATGTTGGGATGCACTAGTAATAGTTGGAACCATAGTAGAAGTAGTTGAAGATGTTGAAGCACTCATTATAAATAAATCTGTAGAAAAAATACAAAATCAAGTAGAAAAGTTGAGTAAAACATACCTTAAAATATAAAGTCAAATAAAATGATAAACTTGAACTTGAAAAATAAAAATATTATTTTTATTTATTTTTTATTTTTTTGAAGGAGAGATTATGGATTAAGGCAGCAGAACAACAGTAGGACGGCGATAGCACACAGTGGCGGGTAGCAGTAGTAGTGACGACAGGGTAGGCGTCAGCGGCAGCGTCAGCGGCAGCGTCAATGGCAGCAACGGTAGCGGCAATTTGATTGTAGTTCGGCAGTAGCTTGGCGGCAGTTCAATGGCTGTTCAATCCATTTTAAATATTCACACACATAAAATTCTATTGATCTGGTTGTGTCTCGTATACCAAAAAAGAAAAGGGGAGAAAATAAACAGTACTTCTCCACTATATTCTAAATACTGTAGTTACAGTATTTACTGTATTCTACAGTAAATATTGTGGAAAGCGCTGGCTACATTTAATGATCTCAACAAATCTCATTTCCCATCTAAATTTGTTCCCCTCGGGCTCTGCGAACAGCCGAGCTGCCCGGGAACAAATAACGAACGGGAGGAACGTGACACACTCCATCCAGATCCCTCGGGAACCTCCTAAGGCCGACAGCGCATCACAGGGAGAACATCGTCAACATTCTCCACGTTTCGGTCTTCAATAATGGCGGGAAAGCAGCGCCTTCATCTACGAGTTTCAATTATTGCTTCAACCACTTCTAATCGAAGATTTAAGGTATTCGGAACTTGACTATGTAGACTCCATAAAATCTAGGAATGGTTAAATGAGGGGTAGATCTAAAGTTTCAATAGATGTTGCGTCGGGAATGGCTCCCAAGCTTGCACTCAGTGACACACGAGGGAGAGCGAGTTGGTGCGATTCGCGTGAGTCTCAGAGAAATGGCCACATTTGTGGTGGACGAGCGATCTCCCTCACGAATTCATGCGCTTCGTCTCTTCCTTGTCTTTTCAACGCCCTCTCGCACGTCGAAGGTGGAGCCTGGAGCACATCGGTAGACGCACTTTTCGAGGTTGCGCGTTGGATTTGCGTGGGGTTAGTCTCGATTTCCGTTTCCCTTGCGTGCGTGGTTTATTCTAGCCGTAGCCAATGATGTCAGAGTGTGGAGAGGTATTCTGAAATGTAGGAGGTTGGAGAAATGGTTATGTGGTGTGACTGTATCGTGGGACTGCGGTAGACAGGGTCGTAATGAGAACCAGGATTTGGTTTGTAAGTCAATTTCGAGGGCTGGTATGGAGATTGCGCCGAGGGTTAGGTTGGTGGTGGATAAGGGGATGTTGATCGAGGGGTGTGCCATTTTGTGCAGACAAATCTGTGTTGTGATCAGAAGCGCTCTATTGGTGCGAGAATGAAAACCCTAGGTTACTGGATTTGTCGAGGTTGGGATATGAAGACTTGTATTTGCACTTCTTATACATGTCGGTATTGCTGCAGTTGTCAGAAGTGCCTGCGACCAGAAGGGAACGTGGGAAAGGGAAGATAAATATCGAAGTTTCGGTGTATAGCGAAATTTCACCCCAATTTCTTTTAGGTTTATTTATGTATTCAGATCTCATGCCAATAATGCATGAAGTTGCGAGTTGTTAGTTGGCTCCCGAGATGGAATTCGGAGGCACTGGTGGGGATTTTCGTTGACATTCTACACGTCGGGTTTGAGGTTTATTTTCTCTAGACTGTAGTGGATGTTTTTGCAAATTCTGCGACTCACAATTGCCCCAAGGATTCATTCTGTTCATTTCACTTATATTGAGTAGCAGGATAGGTGCATCATCACAAATGGCAGGCTTCCTGTCTTTTTGATCTCTTACTACTTCAAAGTTGATTCGGATTCTTAGGATGGGGGTCAATCATGATGAGACTATACTTGGAAGCTGTCCTGCACCCATCTTGTGGAATATAGCAAGGAGATGCCGATACCAGCAAGGTTGGATTCGAGTCGTTGAGCGTCCTGGATGCCTCCAATTTAGATCAAGACAAAGGTTAAATACATGGAAAAAGCATTGTTGAATCTTCTTGAGCCTCTAAATGTGCACGAGTAGAATCTCGGAGACATTTGAGGGTCCTCCCTGGGAGATCGTTTAGTGGAATGAATGTAGCATTTCTGTGTGTCCGGCGGCATGTGACGAGGGTTCCTTCATTCGATGGATCGTGTACCCTTCGACAGCTTCTAATGAATCCTATATGTTGAAGGGATTTTGAGACATTGAAATAGCACAATGAAGAGAGCCGACATCCCACCGGTTCCCAGGCGGGGCCACAACTCCTCTAGACATTTGCTAAAACAGAAGCTAGATAGGACTCCAGGCATGCGATTATTTCACGAGGAGGATTTAGGATCTGAGACAGTAGTGCACCGGACTTCCTCGGCGACTCGAAATTTTTTTGGGGCTTTGTCAGGCTTGAAGCAGCTTGCCGGTAAAAGTAGTCTATCACGGCTTATTCGAGACTCAAGTGTGCCTGCAGATTTAAATAGCTTAGATACTGAGAGCAACGCTTCCTCTTTTGGGTCAATCAGCGGCTTTGGGAGTAGGTTTGGTAGCGCAGTTGATTTGACAGGATTGATTGGTTTCGAAGATTTGGCGGTGAGTGGAACACCACGAGAGGTAGGGTCACTGAATTCCCCTTCTGTTTTCCTTCGTAGTCAATTGGAAATTGGTGGGCGACGAGATTCATTAGAAGGGCCCACTCCTCGACAATATGACTACGAGCATGCCTTCGAACGTGGCGATGACTACACTGGCACTGAGCAGTTTCCAATGGAAGGCGTCGCTGCGAGCACAGGTGGCACTGATGAAGTCAGTGTTAGATGTAATAATTTGACTGATCAGATGGATCAAGGATCCTTCAGAGACTGGTCTGGAAGTGTTGAAGTCGATGGCTTTGAGGAAGGAAGAGATTCTATTAGCTCTCCTCAGCCTAGATCAGTATCTTCCGATGAGGGTAAGCAGCAGCAGAATGGGGCCACTCCAGTTCAATTTGCTTTCCTTACATCGACAATCCAGTGTCCTACTCGAGCCAGGAAAGTTGCTGTCGTGACAATTCAAAGGTTTTTTCGGGGTTATTGTGCTCGGAAATCTTATTTGGAAATGCAGGAAAAGGCGCTTAAGTCACAGGCATCGGCTCGGATGATCAGAGCAAGGAAGCATTTTCGAAAGGTTCGTAATACAGTCATGGTATTACAAAAGTTGTGGCTTACAGTTAGAAGTCGGAAGTTAAAGGAGCAGGAAGCTGCGGCTACAAGTATCCAGAGTTTGTATCGAGGCTGGTTGGACAGGAGAACATTTTTAAAAAAGTTGCATTCTATTATAGTACTACAAGCCTGCGAGCGCAGAAGACAAGCTCAGAAAAGGTACCAAGTTTTGCTTGACGCAGTTGTATTTCTTCAAAGAAGGAGGCGGTCCATCATTTTGCAACGTCTGAAACTGCGAATGGCAATGGAGGAACTAAAATCCCTGCAGGAGTTACGCAGCCACCTGAGACTACAGGAGTATACTGCTGTGAAGATTCAGACTGCATACAGAGGGTGGGTTGCTAGGAAATCATACCGAAAGCAAATTATATCTGTAGTGAGAATGCAGGCTTATTTTCGAAGTAACCGATCGTTGAAATCTTTCCATCGACTTCGTAGTTCAGTTTGCATGATACAACGAGCATGGCGACTGCAAAAGTCAGTGCTGCAGCAGAGAGAAAAACAATCTTTCCAGGTGAAGGAGAGAGCTGCTTTGAGGATTCAGACCTTCTTCAGAGGCTGGTTGGTGAGGAAGAGGGTTAGGATGTTTTTTGAAAGGGTGGTGTTATTACAAGCATGCGCACGGAGAATGTTAGTCAGAAAGCATTACTGGATGCTTTTTGAAGCAGCATGTACCATCCAACGGGCTTGGCGTGATTTCAAATGTCGGCAAATGCTCATGCAGGCTGAGTTGGAGACGCTTGCTGCTGTTCAGAGTGAACTCTTGCAGTTGGAGGAAAAAGTGTGTGCCGCTGTTAAGATTCAATCCCTATGGCGAAGATATAAGCAGCGACGGTTTTATCAATCATTGCTTCAATATCGTATAGATTGTGCGACAAGGATTCAACAGAGATGGCGTGGTATGATGATTCTTCAACACCTTCGACTTGAGAGGTGGTCACGAGAGCGAGCAGCGACACGTATACAGGCTCACTTCCGGGGAAGGAGAGTGAGGATGCATCTTCAGAGATGGCAACATGCGGTAACATGCATTGAGTCTGCATACTATTCATATTCGCAGAGCAAGCTTTCCAGGAAGGTTATACCTGTTGAACAACAATGTAACGTGTGTGAGCAATCTGCCGATTCTTTGCAGTCTTGTTTGGTTGGTGCATCCCTTACTGATGGCAGTTATCCGCCTGGGACTCCTCTAAGAGAAGAAGCTTCTAGCGGCAACTTCAACACGTATTCGCCCGAGAGTCCCTTAAATGTTGCAGACAGCGTGAATTCTTACGTGCTTCCAAACAGCAGAGATGTGCATCTTAGCAATTTTGAAAATACACCTTCTCAATGTTTCGTTTCAGTAATGAGGGACTGGAATAATATAGCTGTTGATGAGCTTGGACAGTGTCCAGATATGTGCCTGGACGCCTCACCATTAAGTGCTGCATCCTCTCGACAACGGCCCTTAAAGTTTGATGTTGTTTCTCCAAGCTCCTCCAGGGATCAGGTGGACGCTGTAACTTCAACCGGTTTAGCCACTGCTCCACAAATTGAAAGAATAGCTCCACCAGCCTCATCGGAGAAAGCAAAGGTTCAAGGAAGTTGTGTTGGAGCGGGTGAGGGGAATCGCAGCACTGCAAGAGAAATTGTTCAATTTGGAAGTGACGCAGAATTAGCTCTGGGTGAAACATATCCTAGCCCCTCACGTCAAGTTCCTGTTGAAGAGGTAGTTTATGTTTCACTGATATTTGATTCCGCAGTGTCTGGTCCTGATGATCATCAAGTGTTGAATGAGTTCTGAGTAGTCCTTTGCTTATGAGTCTGCCGTCCTTACGATCAATGAAGAGTGGGTTTTGTTGCTGTATCTAGCGCAGAATACATGGTTCAAGTCCGTAAAAGTAATGCTGGTAGACTTGGTCATTGTTTCTACGCATTTCCAGAAGCTTACACACGAGCGATTTTCATTGTTCCAGGAGCGAGCGATGATGGTGAACCAGAGCGAAAGATCTCATGTGAAGTGGATGAGCAAAGATGAGGAAAGACTTCAACATTTTGCTGAGATATTTCTCACTATGCGGCAGATATCAATCCAGCAACAGCGGGCACAATCTGCTCCACCTTTCCCGCCCTCCCATGCTCCCCTCAGCTCTGAGACACCTCCACGATCTCCCCTCGTTGGTTCAACAGTTTCAGCAGCAGAGAATTTTTCAACACGACGCTCCCCCAACATTGGATATTCGAATTCACCCTTGGTCCCTAGTCCAGCGTCAAGCATTAATCAACCTCAGTTCTCGTCGGGTCGGGCTGATGTAGTACTGAATATGGAGGAGCTATTGAAAACATTAGAGCAGTACTGCGAAGAAGATCCGGGAGGATGTGACATGGTTGTCAAAGGGGATGTAGAGAGTGGGCAGGATTGGAGGGTGCGAAAAACGGGGATTAGCACGAGCTCGACGCCAACATTGGGTATTAAGCACTTGAAATTACCAGATGTCAATGCGGTCCTCATCGTCTTGGTGGCTATGGTGGTGTATACCAGGACTGTCTGTCGGGAGGTGTTTTTTGGGACGAAACAGTCACACCGTAAAAACTAAGGAGAATTTGCGTGATTCTTGCTATGAAAGCATGTGAATTCTGTCTCCTGTACCGGGCTTCTCCTAAGCCTTTTTTTCTTCTGGGCGGCACGTGGGGTACAAACAATGTGAGTGGCTACGAAAAAAATTCTCTGATTTATGGAAGTGCTCTCCGTCAGACGTTCAATTGAGTTCATTGGCTGTGCAACTATTAGGTGATGCCACCATATTATCGTTCCAGAGGAGATGATACTACAGACGTTTTTTTTTTTTTGTGTAAAAGATACGAAGCTCACTATTTCAGGACCGTGCTGAAAGGATCAAGTTTTGGAAGTAGCTGGGAATTCCAAGAGACGAAATTTGATTAACTGTGTATGGAACCATGTCGTGGTTATTTTTTAAATCGATACATACTCTGAAAAGGTACTGTTCATTCACAAATTTTCATTTTGCTGGGCAGGCGAGGCTTCTCGAGGATGAGTTTGGCACCGTGACCATGTCTACGGTGTCGCATGGAGACTCCCGTTCTAGGGTGTCGCACGCTCGAATTCTTTTCAAGATTCAAAAGCGAGGTAACTAAACTCAGGCTTTGTCCTTATACTGCAATTTGAGATTGTCAAGGTGTCTTATGATGGTTACACAAAGGTGCGCGTCTGCATGGTACCATAAAGGTTCTGCTGTTCCAGATTCAGATGACCTAGAAAGAATAAGTTATATCAACTCATGACCACAGCCATCGAGTTAGATATGTAGAAATGCCACATTCATAGATTCTTAAGGTCCTCAGCGATCAAGCTTAGAGAGTAATGTAGACTTAGAAAAAGTACTCATTGCTTTGGAAGGTATTGACTTCCACTACTGTGTTGTCTACTCTGGTGAATCATCTCCAAAGAGTAGCCTGTAGATGTAAAATGAATCTAAGTAGTTCCTCAGAACTACTGTATCATAGAATTTTTCACATGTAAAGTAGCTCATGACCTTTGACATCACTTTGTTCAATGTCCCTGCTGTATGGATCGTTGAATATCTGCTTAATCGTAAACTTAGTAGGATATGTAGGGTGTATATTGATTTTTTTGGCTTCTATTAGCTGTTGTGTTGTTTTATTTAGGTAATGGATCCTTTTTCCAACATTACTGATGAATCGGCACTATTCCCACACGTACCTGGTAACATGGAACAATTCAATAGGGACAGATTCTTCTGAGACAACTCGAGATGATGTGCAAACATGAGTCTGGAGAAATATTGCATCTTCACATTCAGATGGGCAAGCCCAGAATCGGCTGGCCCTCAGATCTGTCTCCAGCAGTTTGCAATAGGATTAAAAACATAAAAATGGAAGCACATTCATAGTTGCACTTTTCTATGTGCGAGATGTACTAGGCATTAGGGCAATTGCCACCTTGCACCATCAGGTAGCGTAATGGGATGATGGCTGGCATCTAACCACAACGATGCAGATGAGCAGTTTCTACAGGCTGCAACACCTTGAAGCACCTATCACTAACAAAGCCCGCCAAGCTGCAGAGATTTTGGGCTAGTATCCTCGACTCCCAGGATATGGATAAAAACAGTCACAGCAGGTAAGCCAATGTTTGTGACCCTGGAGATGCCTTCTAAAGCCTGGTCATCCATGCCCGCGGTGGGCCACTTTCTGCAGTAGATTGAATCCCATCCAAGTGTAAACACATGGATAACTGTAGAGTGAAGTATGTGATTTGTGTTTTCCATTCCTTTTGATCCTGGGTTAATAACAACATTAGGGGTTGGCAGAGTGGGAGGATAGAGCAAAGAAATCAATCTTGGAAGATTGAATGAACCAGGGAATTAAGAGGGAATTGAAGGCCACTTAATGCCGTGCCTTGACATGATATCCTTTGTCCATGATTTTTAGAGGCATTTTGTGCGTGGCTGAGCATTCCTATGGATGTCCATCTATTAAAATTGGGTAGATTTGTCCATCCATTGGTAACAAGCCCTCAAATATGGAGCAAACTCAAAGCTTGCTGTTATTATGGTTACTCTTTTGATTTAAATTTTAAGATTTAATTAGTGGAACTCATTTCAATGATTTAGTGAAAAAAGTGTTTGTTTGGGTATGTAAGGTTGTGGATTCCATTTATCACAACATTAATTAGGATAGAGTATGTTTTTTTAAATTGAAAGGAAAATTTTAAGATTTTTTTTTTTTTTTTTTTTTTTTTTTCTCAAATGCATTTGATTGGAACTTTTCTTTTTTTGCATCAAGATCTGAATTATAATATATAAATAATCATTATCATTATCATTATAAGTAATTTTGAAAAAAGTGAATTCAATGTCTTTTTATTTAGTTATGTATTTGTTAATTTATATCATTTATGCTCAGAGCATGATATAAAATTTTAAATTCAAATATTATAGTCCAAGGGCTCATAGGTAAAGAAATAGGTACCAAGCTCATTACTTATGATTAAATAAATATATAAAAAAACAAAGAGTGTTAGTATAATTTGAAATCTTTTAGTAGATAGATATATACAAAGACATCAATATATATTATACGCCTTTTTTATCAAAAAAATAACAATAAAAATAACAATAAAAATAACAATTTTTTTGTTACTATCTAAAAGAAGCATTGAAAACAAGTAGAAAATATTTTGGAAGAAAATGGTCATTTCAGAACATATCTCTTTCAAATTGGTAATGTAGAAGTAAAAGGCAAGTATGTCAAATATCCTTAAATTGACTGCAATGAAAGTACTTTGCAAATTTTGGGTGTTTTCAACTATACAATTTTAAAAGGATGTATGTAACAATTATTAATTGGTTGAAGATAATGTGAATTGTAGAGTAGAAGATGTTTGTGGTGTTTTTCTACCAGATAGTTATACTTTGCAAATTATGGATTTGTCACCTAATAACAATGTTGGTGTTATAAAATTCACCTAAATTATTTATTAAAAATCAATGCTTTTGTAATGTGTTTGCAATTTGGTTCTTATTAAATCCAACCAATTTGTAAAATCTCAATGTAAATATTTATATTTCTTTGTGGTTGCATGTGTCAAATATTGTTTTTTTAAAATCATATTCTATCAAAAATATATATATATATATATATATATATATTTATTTATTTATTTATATGCATATATATGATGTTTATATTTTAAATAAAAGATTCTTTATTTTTTTATAATATAGTTATAAAATATTTTAAAAATCAACATACATACATATATGTATGTATGTATGTATGTATGTATAAACTAACACTCTTTATCTCTGTTTTTTGTCTTCAATGTGTTCTTAGTATAAACAAGTAAATTAAATAAAATACTCAATCTAACATAAATGATATGCAAGACATTGTGGTAATGACTGATTTAAAGTTGAGATTTGAAAAGGCATATAATACCTCAAAAAAAACGTGGTATAATTCATAAGCGTCTCACAAGGAAAAAATAAAAATAAAAAAGGCTTATGAGTCATTGCCTACAACATATAAAATAAACATGTTATTTACATACATTGTGTGTGTGTTTGTGTGTCTAATTTTTGAAAGCATAGATTTATCACACTATTCTTTGTGGTCCTTTCACTTTCAACAGTTATAATTATTAATAAAAATCCATTTTAAATGTCATCATACAAAACACACGAAAACAACGGGGAGCAGAAAATTAAATTACATGATTTCTACAGTACAACAATACACTGCAAAAATGATAATTCTGATCCATTTTGTAGGAAAAAAAAAAAAAAAAAACAAACAAAAAACAAAAACAAAAAACAAAAAACACAAAAAAATCTGATCTATACATATATATATATATATATATATATATATTATCATTGGAAACTAAACGAACTTCCATTTCTAATGTGTTGATTTTCAGTACCAAACTTATTGTTGAAATTTTTGTTAGCAGTGGAATAGTTTATGATGAACAATTCAGTGAAATGAGAGATCCAGAGCAGCCTTTGGCTTGGAGGAAAGAAATCCACTCACAAATGTCTTTAACCAACTGTTTCGTGAAGCGATAGTGAGCCATTTGGCACAGCACCTTTGCGCGCCCAAGAAGGAAACAATTTTTTTAATTTAAAAATGATAAAAATCGTTGTGATGAAGTCCCAGAACATGGAAAGGTTGCTCTGAGTCGAATGGTGTGCATCAGCAAAACCCTTTGAAGGCATTGTGAGTATCTACGACCACCCAACGCCGTGTACAGGACATGAGATGGGCACTCAAAACCCCCACTTTTATTCAAACAGCCACGAGCAATTCCCTTTTCTACAAAGTGGTAAGCATTCAGTGGAAATGAAAGATGAAAGACTTTTCATTACCCTCCCTCACTCGAGGACGCCGAACACTTCACAGTGCGCCTGCCAACAAAACTCTAGGGGGAGTTGAAGCTCGTGCCGGATGCCTTGCAGGAGCTCATGCCGCCTTTTGTCCAGGACTCCCTTCGAACTGTCTCGAAATCTCTCCAACAGCTTCTTATACGCCGCCCGGTCCTCAATGACCCTGTCGGCAGAAAAATCTGTGAATATTGAGAAATCTGGTAGCCCCTTTGACACTGTTCCTCTGTTGTGGGTACGCGTGTGCACAGATTCATCCTCTTCGGAATTGTCACCATCGGCATCGACGTCCTCGGAGCTGGACTTTGAGCTGGAACCCGAGTTGTTACTGCTGCTCGTTGATGATGATGAGGATGTCGCCGACAATGGCCTTCGTTGTGGGGATAGTTCTGTAGTTGCGAGTGCAATTTGCGACTGGGGATCCGATGCGCGCGTGATGTTGGAATCGTGGGGAGGACTGTCTGCTGGAGGTGATGATCCAGGGGTGAGGCAGACGATTGATTGCTCTGACACCTTTGGCGGATGCGGCGGCAGATTCGTGGTCGTGATCTCCATCCCGGGCTTCGGAAACTTGATCACGCGAATCCGCGTCCGAGCTCGCGGCTTGCCCGATACACTCTTTCTCTGCAACCTCGGCCTCTTGGTCGGTTGACGCCCTCTCCTTCGTCCTTTGTCCTCGTCCCAAGAGTGATCGGAATCGTAAACTAGGCGACGTGGGGACACCTTCAGTCTTGACTGTGTCTGCAGCTCTCTCTTATTCACCCGTGGCCCCCAAGCTGGCGGATCCTGTCAGAAAATCCACGCAAACCATCATTTTCAGATCTAACACACAAGAATGCTAGAATAGAAATAATCCTAAACTCATGGTTTGGTGATGTGTTTGGGGAGCGACACTTTACTACGACATGCATTTTTTAGCACAAAACACGATTTTCTCCTTCAGGCATCATGAATGTCATGAAAATAACGATGTTTAATAGGAAAGAGATAATCGAGCAAACCTGCATTGGGCAAACACGTCTCCAGCTCCACCGAAGATCAGAACCCGAGGGGCGAACATACTCCAGGCGACATCTAATGTGAGAATGCGGTAAATCGAGCTCTGCTTGCCCCACGCCATAGTAGACTCGGTAGGTGTTCTCCTTAGAGTTGTGGTATTTGATGAAGCCTACCCACCACGCATCGTTGTGCATCGTCTCCACAGCGTCACGCACCCTCCATCTCGTTTGTTGAAGCTCGGGCGGAAAGGGCCGCAGCTGGTCCTTCATCACAAACTCATGCAAGGGCTCACTGCCAGGGTCATCCGACACCGTAAAGTCGCGGTACTGCACGTACACCTGATGGCACACCTTGCGTTCCCCCGAGCTCTTGTAATGCAGCTTCACAATCTTCACTGCGAACCAGGAGCCCTCGTACCCCGCCTCTTCGGCTCTGTATTCCGCCATGTTCCCCTCCCGCATCCATGACGGCTCGGGGACAACAACGCCCTCTCTCACCATCGCCATTGCAATGACCAACGTGACCAGATACAGTCTCAAAAGCTCCAAAACACTACACAACAACTTCCTCAAGTCTTCGAAAAGCTATACACACACGCACACACGACCAAATCCGACGATGACCATCGGAATTCTATCATGGTTGCGACAGGAACGGCACAACCGATGAAATCCCCACGTTTGCCTCACCCTGACCCCAAACCCCCGCAGAAAAAACGACACATGCATGTCCATGAACGTAGTGTTCGCATGTTCGCAATCTGAATCAGAAACCTCCCGTAACTTCCGAACCATTGTAAGAGCGAAGCCCTTTGCAACATACACTCCAGGAGGGAGGGGCAGTGTCAACTGCAATACACCATCAGCACCACCACATCCTTCAGAAACCTCCCGCAATCTCAGAAGAAGCCAGGCCATAATACCCTCCTCCGCGATGATGAAACTGCCCACCGACGAGCGCTCTGGACCCGTGGGCACCACCACCGCATGCATGACGCCATGCAACCGGGCGTGGCACCTCCTCCCCTTCGCTGCGCCTGTTCCGCGTGGAATCGGCATCCCCACGTGAGTTGGATTCTGCCGTTTTCGTCCATCCTTTTCGTCCTCCGTTTTTTTTTTTAATAAATGCATGGCTTGACACACAATGATGATTAGGCCCTTCTAATATAGGACAATTTACTTATTCCAGGTAATTTTCCTTTAAAAAAATCAAAAAAAAAGATTCATGTATTAAGGAGAATGTTAACTAGATCCAAGTTTTTATAAAATCAACCTACCCATTATAAAGAAAATAATAATAATAATAATAATAAATCTCGAGATTCATTTCTCCACTATTGGATTTGCAACCAACTACATCCATCATGATTACCATATTCTTCATCAAAGATGGGTCTATTTAACTTTCCCTTATATTAATAATCATTTTAAATTTTAAAATTTTACAAAACAACAATTATAACATGTAATTATTGAGTTTTCTTAATGCAAGGTCGTTTATTTTGTCCATTGCTAGCATGCACAAGAATGAAAGCCTTCTCCATTCAGCCTTCTCCATTCACATACATATAACTATACATACATTCAAAGCTTATATTCATTGATTTCCAATAATGTCTATTTAGTCCTTTATTAGTAAAAATGTATGTTTTATATTTCTTAAGATAGGATAAATATAACTAAGTCTTCCAGTAGAAGAGTCTAAAAATATCTTTTTAAAAGAAAAAATGAGATAAATTTTATTTTTCTTCTATATGAGATAAATAGTATTGTCTTCAGAATTTGTGGTAGCTTTGCTTCAAAAAATATATTTTACAAAAATTTAAAAAGAAATATAATAACTTTTTTTAAATAACTATATGATAAGTTATTATCATTATTATTAGAATTAAGGTATGCACTAACAAGATTATACTCGTAATAAAAGAATAATCTATTCCATTTTGTGGTCTCTTCTTCTTTTATACTATCTCCAAAAACCAAGACTTTTATAGAATATTTTTTCTTAATTAAATAAGAGATATGAAATAAATCTTTTTTATTACAATCTTTTAAAGTGGACTTCTAGATATAAAACCCCTTAAGTTTAGAGAGGATGTACTTCATGCTAATGCATGTGTTGAAATAAGCTCACATTTATTGCATATCATCATTATTACTATTATTATCATCAAGTCCTTCTAATGTAAGACATTATCCTTCTTGTTCTATATTAAATTATACAAGACACAAAGTTTTATTAATATAAGGCACGAAAGATATTATTAATGAATTTAAGCTTAATAAGTCAAAATAGTTATATGTATGTGAATGGAGAAGGCTTCAATTCTAGTGCACGTTAAAAGGGAGACCTTGATAACTGCATGTTGTCGTTTCATAACCACAATCTTATAAAACAACAAGTTTAAGAAATATCCTAAAAATTTTATTACTATAAGATAATTTTTTAATTATGTAAGAAAAGATATCCTAAAATAAGTAAATTGTCTTATATTAGAAGTATCTAGCCATTGAGTTGATTTTTCTAAATATAAAGAAAATGAACTGAGGCCTCTTGAATTGACTGATCAAATGATTTACATATTATGGCAGCTAATTATCTCTTCAAATTATATAGACTTCTTTACTTGTTTCTTGTATATTGTAATTTTTTTGGAATTTCTTCGTTACATACGTCTTTAGTTTTTGTGGCTTTATTTCTTTAATTTTAATGCTCTTATTTTTCTTTTCATCAATCATGTTCAATTGTGTTTTATTCTTTTGTTCTCTAAGAACTAATCTAATAGATTTTAGTTAAAGTTTTATACTTAAAAAGTAAGTGTATGTTTTTTATTAAATATTTTATATTATTTTGTAAGATTAACATATTGTTGAAGTACAAAGTTGCAAAAGATTATACCAACACAATAATAGTGTGTGCACTTTAGAACAAAATGGTGTTTAAAGTAAGACGTAATTGAATTTATCACCATTATTATAACAAAATCTCATACAAAATACTGCTAAATAATAATGACATACTTCAAGTTTTTAAGATATATTTCTTTAAAAGCTTTTAGAAGATTTTGAAAGAATATAGAAGCTACAAGTACAATGTTACCATTTTTGGAAGATTAAGAAAAGTTCAGAAGGATTTTTTTTTTAAAAATCATAGGAACTTTTATGAGAGTACAAAAGCTACTAAACCATTATAAAAGACTTTCAAGTTGGACAATTTTAAAATAAGTTGACTAATACTTGAAGGACTTATTGGCATAGGAATTATACTTTGATAGCAAGAACATGGATAGCCAGGAGTTTTTTAACCCAAATTAGATAGTTATTGAAAAAAATCAAAACCTTATTATAAGATGTGTGTTTTTTTGCAAGAAGATAAATTGTAAAATTGGAAGCTTAATTTATAATTGCACCACTTGAGAAATAGTTCACATAGAATCAAGTCAATATATTATTTATATGTTATTAATAATAACTTAAAAAGTCACATTAAAAATACAATACTACATAAATATATATATATATATATATATATATATATATCTTACAAATACAATGACATTTAAAATGGGTGAAATTTCATACAACTCAACAAAATATATATATATATATATATATATATATATATTAATCTTGTATTCTTTTTGCATTTCAATAATTACCCAATTAAGTTTTAAAATGTATTGTTGTTCATTTCTAAATATCAACTTCATGTATGTATATATCTCTGAAGATTTGTGCTTGTAAAGTACTTTCAATCAACTTGTGGTTATATTTACCAATTAATATTCATTTCATTGAATTCAGATATAATTTTTTTCTATTCATGAATAAAATTCAGTAATTTTGAGCTTTATTTCATAAGATTTGTAAATTCCTTCAAAAAATCCCATTGTATTCAATCAAGAGGCGCAATATTCATTTACATCTCTAGGACAAATCCGAGATTTTTCCACCTTCCGCTCTTAAACCACATGATATACAATCATTTATGCACAATATCATACCAGTCAGCACTTCCTGAATTATTTAAAATTACTATTGTCCAGAAGCATACAAAACTAAATTTTTTCATCAATGAAAGAGTGACTAAAAGCACATTGTAAAGTACCAAGCAGAGAGCAACTAAATAATTTAGTTCAACCATGAAGGGCAAATAACAGAGGTGAATATCTCATTCCAGAGGGTGAAAAAACATGCTCCAATCAATACTTGGCCACTCATATACAAACTATACCTCATCCATGGAAAGAACAGGCATAGAACAATGTGAGTCAATTACATTACATGTGCATTGGGAGAACGCTATCACCGAATGATGTTGAAGACAATAAAGAATGCAAGCATGGACATGGACAAGAGGACGACGTCTAATGTAAACCACGTCCTCTGAGACTTGGAAACGTTCTAGCAGGGAAAGGGATGGAGTATGTTCAGAGAGAGACATCCACAGGAACACAGTCGAGCAGAGAAGAAACTGCAAAACACGTTAAAGCCATGAGCCTGAATAAAATGAAAAATGAGATCGAGTGACATGAAAGGGGGTACTCATGCTCCCTAATGTACATAAACTACGATTGGTAAAACAGCTCTGGTGCAGATCACCGCCAAGAGAAATTTGACGCCCCAACAACCCCAATCCCACCCTGTCAAACCCCCTTGCCTTCGCAATCGTATTAAGGTGGGACACCGCCCTCCGAAGAACACCGCTTCAGCTTCCGTCATGACTATAACTACTATGTTTTGTGTTTGCATTGCACTACACTGCCCTGCGCTGCAATGCGTGCAAGCATGCGTGTGTGTATGTGTGTGTGGGTCACAAAAACCATTCTCAACTTCCTGCGAGCCACAAACTCCAGCAGCGCAGCAACCTGCTTAGGTAGCCTACTTAATAAGGCTGTTCACTCAGAGCAAGTCCACACTCAGTCGCTGCCATCCCAGAACGGTGCCCCAAGTGGATAAGGCTTCCGCGTCAAAGGTGCTTAACTGTAAATAACTCTCTTTCCCTCACTCATGACCAGCATCTGGCATTATCCCTGACCCTCTCACCAGAAACACAAATCTCAGAGTTTTACTTGAAGTCATTGAATGCACAATTGCATGCATTCATACTAGACATTTATGTTTCCCTCGAACATACGCACTTTCATTCTAGTACCATGATATACGAAACAATCGGTAACTTTGCCAAGTGAATTTCTCATACTTCAAAATCTGCTGACCTGGACTGCCCGAGGCGGTGTTCTAGGTCGTGATACATTATTGCCATAGGAGACGAACTTTTGTTTCTTTTCTGCCGGTTTCAAAATCTGAAACGAGCACATGAGAGTATCATCCACACTCATCATCGCACCCGCATTATCAAATTCACCACAGTAATTTGGTGCAGAGAAAATAGTGACCAGCTGGCGTTTAGCAAAAAACTCATAACCATCCTCCACTACCTGCATGTGACATTCACACATGTCAGTACTTGAAACACACCAGGAATAAGGTAATTCTACCCATTAGGAGACTGAATCACATTGTACAATTTGTAAAATCAACACTACGCATGTGTATACTTTTCCACGGGTTCCGCTAATGCTCAAGCACCGATATGATCTTTTTAGTAGAACAATTACCAACCCCTCTTCAGGCATGACTAAGTGCAACAATATATTTCATTAGAACACATGATTAGACGCTTTCAAATTAGAACAGTGAGTAATTCATAGTGTGGATAACAGTACTTGATGGGCTCGGCAGATAAGATCCAAGTCATGTTTTTGGAGAAACTCAGAGACCGTATCTGGACCAAATGTGTAGGAAACTCCTCGGTCATTATCTCCCCAGCTCGCTACATCTTTGTCAGGATCCGCCCATAAAAGGTCACACAACAAGCCTGCATCAGGCACGTCCGTTGGCCGTGCAATCTTCTTAATTTGATCCAAGTTCTTGAGCTCTGGAGAGAGGCCTCCATGCATGCAGAGAATCTTTTCATCAATCAAGGCAGCCACGGGCAAGCAGTTGAAGCAATCTGTAAACGTCTTCCACAACCGTATGTTGAAACGGCGTTTGCATTCATCGTAGAAGCCGTATATTCGGTTGATTGATGCACATTCATGATTACCTCTTAGCAAAAAGAAGTTCTCTGGGTACTTGATTTTATATGCCAAGAGGAGGCAGATGGTTTCTAGACTCTGCTTCCCTCTGTCCACATAATCCCCTAAAAACAAGTAATTTGCCTCGGGGGGAAAGCCACCATATTCGAACAGTCTCAAGAGGTCGGAATACTGTCCATGGATATCACCTAGAGCATTACGTCAGCACTTTGTCAAAGACTAGCTACGAGGCGAATGGACAAAGTGTGGAACTAACAGGTGCCTAAACAGTAACTATAACAGCTAGATTCAGCAAAGCTCATTCAATTAAGTACTAGAAAGATCTGCAATATTACTCCACTTTCAAATTTTTAAATCGATTCAAAAATAAAAAAATAAAAAATAAAAAGTGCATGGATGACTATGAATCACGTCAATGTCCAATTCAGTGTTACATCAATGATTGAAGACCGGACATTGCCAGCTTGTGCTCATCATAACGCTAAACAGCATGGTTCAAGCTCATTCTGCCGTGCATTCACATGAATTGCCAAAACCACTAGGGACTAATACTATGAGATAGTGGTATGAAATGAGAATTGTACACATACCACAGATCTTGATTGGCGCCTCAAGCTCAAGAAGGTTAGGCTGGGACAAAAATATATCCTTTGACGCGACACAAAGCTGACGGATTTCGGCCTCCGAAAGCTGCACTTGCTTGCCCGGCCGCCCAGTCCGTACCTCGAGCAGCCGCACTATAATATCATCTAATACCGCGCTGTCCATTCCCCCTCCCTCACACTTCTCCCCACCTTAAAGGACCGTGTCCTCTCCACTTTCACCTCTGTTGTCGTATTTCAGCAATTGCCAACGGAACACAACTCCTGCAATCCGCACAATGGTTATCGTTCGTAAACTCATTTAAACACAAAAAATTTAAAATGATCCAAAATTCACAAAAGAACTAAACTGGTCTTAGTCAATAGCGGCCAGGTACATGGGGAGAATAACCGGAGTTTGTATTGAAATACGCAAGGGCCGTCCATGAGAAAATGTTACAACGACACTGAGGGCTCCCAACATTTCCAACCCCTCTATAAACTACTGGCCCGTGATGCTCAAAGAGACGTAACATGTGATTCGAGTAACACACAAAAACCAAAAATAAATAAAAAAAACCATCCCATCTGATCAAAGAGAGTTGAGCCAGGACGACCACAACTCGCATTAACCCTAAAAGGATTATCAAATGCGGCAGAACAAAAAAAACTCGAACGAAATTGAAAGACAAATCTCGACGTGATTTAGAGGCATCAGAGTGCCTTTCGTGTTAGCGTGCTTGATTAAGCTGCTTTAGAAGATAACATAATACGTCTGTAAGGTAGACATACAGGCACGCACGGACAAGGACTCAAAGGGGAGATAACCCTTGTGCACTACGATTGCTCACTATAAGGACATCTCCAGAAATCGACTGCAACATAAGAAAAAGATACCAAGGAACAGCTGAAATTCGTCAGAGAAAAATAAATAAAAAAAATACATGCTGTTGAGGCTTCGGCTATGCAAGTCACGATAATAGATTCGGGAGTCGCGAGAAGCAAATACATCTCATCGTCGGCAAAGCGCTACAGAGAATATAAACAAAACAAGACGCGAGTACAACATTTACAAGAGCATCGGACAGTTAGGGTTTAAAAGCCTTGAAAGCATAATGGTGATCCATAACAGAGAAAATGTGAGTTTGTGAAGTACGAAACCTAAAATCATAAAACATTATCCATCCATACCATCGCGTCATGTGCAGAATCCTCAAATAAGAGACAGGAAAGGGGGGCATTCTCGGCACAGTAATATTGCAGAAGTTGAAATATGCAGGGTCAGCTACATGTTTGCTCTGAACCTTAGAGGACCGCTCACATGACCCATGGACTCACGAGTAAAAAAATAAGATGACACAAATCAGCTTCACGAGGTCAATAAAGAGTCAAGGAACCATTCAATTTTCCTATCAACTCCACGCCATACCGACCACAACGACAATGGCCTCCACCAAGACTCAACACCTGAGTCACATCTCTTCATTCCCCCATCCCCAGGGTGCAAAGACGCAAGTCACAACACACCACCTTCCTCAACCTCCGAGGCACCTCACACTGCACACTCCAATCCTCTTCACAACCTTCAAAACCACATCAAAACCATGCCTCACTCTCTCAGTCCGGTCCAAATTCCCCGCATTGGACTACTCACGATCCTGCGCTAGCTAACCAATACATCTATCTCATCACAAGCCTTCTACCAACACCACAACTATCTGCATCAGCTCAATCGACACCCCACCCAGACTCTGCCAATATTACGTCCTATCCCTATGAGCAGTCGACGAAACGGCGACGGAGAGAAAGAGTGGCTGGCTGAGAACTTACAAAGCCGGGAGCTAGGGTACGCCTCCTTGACAGCGCGGGGCAACGGCCAACGGCGAAAATTGGCCAAGGCGCGGCAAGAGAGGCAGCGATTGGGAACACACATCCAAACGACAACCGAGACGCGAGCATCGGCGATGGCGATCGTCTTCTGACCCTCCTCGGCAGCCCAAACCTCCTTCCAGCTCCCAAGGACGAAACAAACTCTGCCCGACCCTGACCGAACTCCGTCTTTACCTCCAACCCACAAAGGGAAAAAAACACATCGAATGAGGGAAAAAAAACATAAACAAGTAAAACATATACTACTTCCTGATCTACACCGCTCCACATCCATTCCCACGACAGATCTCACCATCTGTTTGAGTGGCGTACATGCGGCTGGTTTTCAGTTGTTGATTTTCGAATTAACCACAATGATTTTGCAATGGAACTGAGATATGTTCATAGATATACAGCGGAGGATGCACAGCATGTGTCAGAACACCACCTTGAAAGCTCCATTTTGGGCTGCGTCATTTTTATTTTTTTTTCTCTGTTGCTTTCTAACTTTTTCCAGAGAAGTGTAGATGTGAAACCCGTTTTTATTCACCCCAAAAGTTTTTTTTTATGTTGTTACACGATCAGGAAGAGTTTCGTAAGGCAGGATGTGAACAGAGCGTGAGGGCGCACCAATGGCATGACAAGTAGGTGGGTAATGAGGTGGCATTGGTGGTATTCTCTCATCCCTGATCACCATTCAAAAGCATGCACACACACACACCACCACCACCACCGCGACCATCTCGTCTTCGTTCCACTCGCTCGGTCTCTCTCCAGACCGATTCCCATAGGAAGAAGAAGAAGAAGAAGACACTCCTCGGATGAATTACCGGCAGCAGAATGAGGGAAGAAAAGGCCCATCTGGCCACTTCTGCCTCGTTTCATTCGAAACCACCGACCAGAGAGTGCATGGCACGGTGCTTAAACGACAATCATGACAATTTTTTCCGGTATCAGAGTCACCTACAGGCCGAAGTTTCAATGACGATCAAAATTACTACTGAATCAACTAATTTTGAGTAGACCCTGCGTCTCAATTGCACGGGATCCGATCGGTAGCAAATGGGGAGCGTGAAGCCCTAGACCCATTGCTGGGTGCGAAATCAGGAAGCTGTTGAGATCCAGACCGATTCCTCAGCCGTGCTAGAAATTTCGAGTATTGACTTTTGTGCTGATAGATCCGTTCGACTCCTGGATCCGCTCCTCGCCACCATGTCGAAGAAGATTGATACTCGTAATCAAATCTGGCAAGGTCCAGGTGCAATGGACTTTAAAGTTGAGAATCGAGGCACCAGATAGCAATCGCAAACCCCATGGGAGGACGAAACACTTTCCGACCAGATAAGCGAGGACAATGCACTGGGACAGTCACAGAAAAGCTTATTAAACAAGTCTGGAAATACAAAATGTTGTTCCTCTTGGGCTCTGTGTGTGTGTTATGTTTCGAGGTGGGCTAATCGGTGAACGATCTGTCTGAGTCGTTGCGTCAACACGAACTGCTCTCTTGCAAGGATTAGCACTGAATGAGATGAGGAATTTTGAAACGACACCAGCAGCAATGCCCAGACGTCTACACCAAGCTTGGACACAAGCGGCGGGGGGTGATTGTGTCAAGAGAGTTTACTAGCTGCCGGATGATAATTGGTTGGCTCGAAACGAAATGATTTGGACACGAATTAGGTTTAGGCAATGCAAGATAAAAAGTTGTTGACAGCTTGGTTTTTCGTTTAGATCATCGAAAGCGGGGGAACAGCTGCCTCGGCCCGAAGAATCGCAACACCAAGGCTACAAGCTCATCAAGCTCTGGGTATGAATTCACACACGCATGGTAGGTAAGTTAGATTGCCAACTCCTCAAAGCCATGATTGAGCTTTCAGTTGGAGGGAGTGCGTTCAACAAGTAGTCCCGTCCATCTAATACCAGGTCAAGCTTCCGAGGAGATCCGTAAGAAATACCTTCAAGCATTGTGCACGAAAGGGAACGAACCCAAAAAAAAGTACAAGAAAGGCTCAGCCACCTGGGTCCGTTCAATTCAGAACGTCGATGTCCGATTCTCGATGCGCTAAATGCGTCGTGACTCAAGCATTTCGATCGCCATGACTCTAGTGATCAGCATGCAGTTCATAGGAACTCATGCTCTCGGTACCCAATGTCACAAACGGGACGATGAATGAGCAAAAGGGGACGCGGTCCATGGAAAATCAGGCTTCGACGGTCGTGGGGTGTGGGTTTCTCTAAGACCGTGGATGTGGTGGCAACAGGCTACTAGCAACGTCTTGCCTCTGTGCAAACAGAAAGAAAGGCGCACTAACGCATCGTCATCCAATTGGGAAAGTTTCAAACTGGCTGCCGATTCACAATCTGGCAAGCTTGGGAATCGTTTGTACGATCGGAGAAAGAGATGGTATTATTCCATTTCATCACGAATCGGTTCAGGCTTCAATTGCATTCTAGTTCAATCATTCTGTACGCAGAGTGTCTGAATTCTTTCCCAATCTATGTTTTTGTCGTTGGAATTACGAGAGGGGATATGCGCATCATTATCAGAAGTGGACAGTGCTGCATGTGATTGCTGCAGGAGTAACCATCGGGGTTCTATATGGATTTGGATTGCTTTGGTGCACACTGCAGTTGCAGCAAGCAGGAGTTTTATTGCAAGGGTTTCTGTGGATTTAGGAAGATTGGAATTATTTCAGCAGGATCTTGTGGGAGCGGCTGTTATCTTGAGTCTAGGGTTGGTGTTTTGGGTCCAGGGGAACTTCAAAGCTGGAATGGAGGAGCAGGGAGTTAGGGCTTTTAGAATCCTGTGCGCGTTGCTGCAAGAGTTGATTGTTTGATGCACACGATTTGAGTTCATTTGTTAGGGTGTAGATTTCGAAATTCGGACATGGAGTGGCTTGTGGCTTTTGTCGTTTCTTTCCTGGCTCTCGTTAGGATTGGCGACACACAGTCTTGTGGGAATTCAGAGGTTTCGGATGCTTGTGCCTGGGCAACCACTACAAATGGGAAGATGTACAGCTTTAATCTTGTCTCTCCAACCAAAGGCTACCCTCATGGAATTTTGAGTGAAGACGGGTATTGAATCTTTGGACCCTAGCCCAATCTAAGTAGAGGATGCTAGGTATTTTTCCATGGCGATATGATTCTTCGTCAGTTCTCTGTAGATGCTGATTTAGTGCGGGCGATTACGAATGCGGGAATTGTAAAGCAGAGCACCAATAGCTTCTAGCCTATGCACCGAGCCTTGTACATAATATTCACAAACCACTGGAAAAGTATGACCCTGTTCTTTTTTCAACAGTGTGTTGGTGCTGTGTTTTTGGGAAGGTTTTACAAGATTTCTGCAAAGTCGAAAGACGGAGAGACCAACTACTGGTTCCAGGTGGGTGTACACGTCACGCCATAAATTAGTGGGCATTGACGAGCTTGGTTCTGCAAATTTTTCCCTGCTCCTCTGTCTTGTTAGTTCTGTTAATGGTTGGTGTCACCCTTTTCATCATCTATCTATATGTTCGTCGGTTTGGTTAGTTATTTTCAACTAAGATGAGCTTATCGTGTGCATGAATCAGTTGTGTGAGCACATGAAGTTCAACTTCAATCCACCTTTGTGCGAAAACTGTGAGGTATATATTCATCTTCTACATATAACTTTGTTGATCTATCCTTGGTATCTTTGTGTCGACTTGTAATGAGGTGGTGTATATGATGGTTGACTAGCAATTTGTACGCTAATTTTTTACTTCATTTGTTCCAATCTGTTCTAGTGTTAGTAGAAAGATCTCTAGTTTCTCTACTATTAACTGTGGGAATTTTGTTTATGTTTTATATCGTTCGAGGACTGAAACTTTTAGGTTTTGAATATTTGCTCAGGGTTGTGGTGGTCTAGGACACTGTGGTGAAACCTGCAGTGCACTCGTGTCTTCGTCTTATCCGGGTTCGTAATGATATTTCCTATCAATACACCTTGCTTCACATCCAGACACATTTATAAGTAGATTGATCTTCGTAAAGTGTCTGAATTATTGCTTACTAGTTCCCTGAATCTGCATATTAAAGCTCATTAGCTGGTCTGAAGGACTGTATGTAGGTAGCTGATCAGTATGTGAAGGTGGCCAGTGACATCCCAACTCATAAAATTTAGTTCCATTGAGGTGATGTTTTCTTGAAGTTTCATTAGGTTGCATTTCACATTTCGAATTGAGTTTTGATCTGGGGTACGCGGCTAAATTTACAGGTTATTCTTTATGTACGACTCTCGGGTACCCTGAGAGTATTTACTACTCCTTGATAAGTACGGTACATCTTCACGTATTGTCTTCATTGTACTTCAGTTTGGGAAAGCCTATTTCTTTCTCTATATGGATATATGATTCGAAGTTTTATCTGCTTATTGATTTCGTTTGTATCCTTTTCTCTTGTTAATAACATGGTGTCGGTCTGACAGTCGACGAATGAAAATCAAGAATGAATCTGTTCATGTCAATTGAATCCAGTTGCAGTCGTTCCAATATTAATGATGTAGTCAGCTCAGTGATCTATCAAGACCGTCGTATTCATCCCCTTGATTTTTTGTTAACCAGATCAAGATAAGCCAGAGCAAGGTGTTCGGGTAAATATGACTACATGTAACAAGTCAAAGCCAAATTGCTCATTCTCGGTGTTGGTGTACTGCAGCCATTCTGGATTTGAGGTATACTGCATGATTGTTACTTGACAGTTCCTCTAATTGTTTAATTTGATCATACTTTGGTGTTGCACTTTTCTATTCGAACTCCACTATTGTGAACTACTTAAGCCTTTTAGCTCACATGATTGTGAACTCCGGGCAGAGTTTGGTTTCCACGAATCAATACAAAGTGTTTGTTATGCTTAAACGCACATATTATGAGGAAAGATGGAGGCTTCAGTTATACCGTTATGTGTTTTTCTTATATGCTGCTATACGTGCAGCCGCCGAAGACGGCAATGAATGGAACATCAGGAGAATGTAATCTTGTAAGCCCCTGACGTCATTAACCTTGATATTCGTATCGTTTCTTAAACCTTTGAAGCACATTATCTCTAGTAAAATTTTCTAAGCATACCAAGTTTTTTGACGCTCTGGAGTTCTGTTTTTCTATATTGACCCTTTAACACTGCACAGACTTAGTGTAAGTTTTCCAGTTTGGCAGTAACAATACTGACCGCGAATTGCTGATGGTGAAAATTTAGGTGACGCAAAAACACGGTTAGCTCCATCAGGTTTGATTAACTCTTGATCAGACAATTGACGAGTCAAATTTGCTTGAACAGGAAACCGCATTAAAACATCCAGCAGGCTGCCCAGTGGTGACGAATATGAGTAAAAAAGGTTGGGGCTGGTTTGGTTCTCTACTTTTCATGTAAGTTCATCTTTGTCCCAACTCGGAGCATGACAGTTCTATAGGGATATTTTTGGGTTCGTTTAGTCTAAAGCGTCGAAGGCAATGCAGCTGAAAGGGGCTTTTTCTTTTTTCTTTTTTCTTTTTTTTAATTGCTATAGAGGATGATAGAGACTGTCTTTTTATTTGAATTTGATAGTCTAGCAGGAGTAATTGATTTCGAGTTGAATGGACAGGTTGTTGCTTATTTTTGTCGTATACGTGGCTGTGGGCATCGGTTACCGCGTAACTGTTCTTGGTGCTAGTGGTTTTGAGGTATGCTTCCGAAAACTATGACCTAATTGGCTTCACTTATAGAATTTCTTTGCATTGTCGCACTTGGAATAGGTATACTTTCTATTTCCAAGGTTTGTTGCAAGATGCGAAACAGGTTGTGTGTTTGATTAAAGAGATGACTTGATTGTGATGGTGGATACATGCCGTTTTAGGAAGCTGATGCAATCTGATGATCTTTTCAGGCTATTCCTAACCTGGACACATGGCGCGCTCTTCCTTCAAAAATCCAGGTATTTGTTGACAGCATGGATTTTAATTCAGGGCCACATAGTTTCAGCTTAAATGTACCGTATTTCTGTAATTGTGTAAACTCGCTTTTCGTACTTATTGCTGTTACAAGAGCTGGCTACATAACTGCTATTCGCATAATGTTGTGCTGTGATTTCTCAAATTACATGTGATAAATGTAAGTCAAAAAGAATTCCAACAATGTTTGCATCCCCTTCAACCCAGTCCCATTCTAGTCCTTCTACCCTGGTGGTTCTTAGCAACAAAGATGCTTTTCGACTCCCTAAAATTTGATTGGCTGTGGTGTGCAGCTGTTGGTGGAATACCCCATTTCGCCATGCATGCGTGTCTACTACGGCTTTACGGAAAACTCATACTCACGAATGAGTACATGAAACATTCAGCGCTTACGACAAGCCCGGGTATTGCTGATGTGCAGTATGTAGATTAGGAAATGAAATAGTTTTTTTCAGGAGCAATGTTACATATCGTTTTAAAATACATGTGGCGGTTTGTTCGAGCTAGATTTTCAGAATGCTTTCTGCATCCCTTCCTGAGGAACGTTAATGAAAAGTTAGCCTATCTCAAAATATGGAGGGGACGTCTCACACTCCAATGATGTCGGTTAGGTTCATCTTGCTTTCTTGGTAACTATCCTCTGCCGTCGTGTAAGTTAGTTAAAATTTTATAATAGAAGTTCTGATGAGTCACTTAATATGAAGTATTTGCAGCAGATCTTCACTTTAATAGTCATCACCAGGGAAGGCGGTCTGGATCTGGATAGTGAAAGTTTTGACTCACGTGGATAAGTTAATCCTGTTTCTGGATTAGATGCCACCATCAAACTGGTTGGTTGGATTACTGTTCTCAGTATCGCTGTACAAGATCCTACTTAAAGATGGTTGTGTTATGAAACGAGGGAAAAGTAAACAGCATCGTTTATTGCCAGAAACTGACCCAGAACTTACCAAGAATCCCCCTCAGCTAAAAAGATAGTCAGAACTAGTCGTACATGATACACACTCTGCCCTCAAGTCTATCCTACAAAACTAACATATGGCACCAAGGAGATCGCAGTTCATCAATGCTTCACAGTAAGCTAAGTAAAAAAAATACCAACTGACAGTAGCACAAGAACTATCCCTGGACTTTAGTTTTCTCTTGCAGTGCTTCAGACGTTCAAAGAACATGGTTTTAATAGTCAGGCTAGGTTCTCGCATACATCTTCGTTTCAACACAGCTTCTCCTGTTCGAATGCACACCACACGTACAATGTGAATCACTGCGTCCATCCATCTTAACGGTTCTTGCTCGAGAAGGCAAGGATCTATATAATACATTTCGTTTCGAGACATCAATGCGTGACACATCGTATAAAGGCAGATGAGATTGCCTTTCGAGTGCTACTTGAACTTCCAACAACAGCGTGAAGCTTTGACAGGCCGCTCGTAAGGCCACGACTGGGGTCCTATCCCATCAGAGCTGCAACAGATAGCCCATCTTTCCTCTTAGAACTTTCAACTTTTATCTTTTTCATGTCACGCAGATCAATTCTTCACAGCTGATGCACATAAAGGACTATATACATGTATCGTTAGGATAATGTACATGTACTCACAAACAAAACATACTCGTCAATCCGAAATGCAGACAGAATGATTCAAATAATCGTGAGGAGCTCATTGGTAAATGCCAGGGCTTACCTCGGAATAAAAGGATCGGGACGACTCTCAACGAACGCCACCAAACTGCAGCAGTGCACACGCAAAAGTTCAACACATTATTTACGTAAATCATAATCTCAGATGTATCACTGGCCAAAGCCCATGAATGAAGCACCATGACAAAGAAACTGATATACAACAAGTTCAGTTTAGGCCATCTTTCAAGCTTACTCTTTACAGGCTTTGGATGCAGGGGGTGTGTCGTCCAGAGAATTCAGCTCCTCCTGTAACAAAAGAAGAACAAAATGAAACAAGATGTTCAACGGTGAACATAGACAGAGAGAGACAAGCTCATTGATTGTCTTTGCTTTCCATGAGAATCCGGGGAACATTAAGTACACTGAGGAATGAAGAAACCTCGCGGCTCACCTGGAGTAGCTGAATTTCGGTGTTCAGTTGATGCAGATCACGGCTACGCCCTCGAATAGATGGAGCGGAAATGGACGGCCGATGGAACAATAAGGACGGGATTGCCTCCTGCCGCAGTGGTGTCATGGGCGGGGTAGGATTTGGTCGCGTAATACTGCCCCGAGATTTGGACGAAGACGAGGCACCCACATTGCTCCTGTAATTAGATTGCTGTGATCCTGCTGAATACATTCTTGTCTCAACAGATACGTAAAGGCCGTCTTTGTGGCATGCGCCTCGAGCCCTCTTCTTAACCTATCTCTACATAGTATTATTCCAGAGTTTGCACACGCAGCGCGACGCCCTCGCTGCAGCTCACACCAATAAGAAGAATTTCTCCCACAAACTCTTCATGGTTCTTCCGTGCTGAGATTGGATCACGACTGGAATTGACAAGAGGATGAAGATTCTTTGAGCTGCGCGGATAATTGAGTGCCAACCCTAAAAACCCAAAACCCTCAAACCGATACGTTTCCTTTTCTGACTGCATCAAGAGCTGAAAAAACTCCACAACATCATCAAGAATAAGAGACCCGTAAACTTAAGAGGATTAAGTCCTGTTTTCTTAGGAATGACTTTAAGCTCAGTCTAGGCTTTATCATCTACTCCCTACCTAAGATCGAAGTACAGGATTCTATTACACCAACACGACCTAGAATGATGATGAAGAAGAAGAAGAAGAAGAAGAAGAAGAGTGAACGAATGAATCATATGATTGTTTGATTAATGAATCTCCTGATTGTGGCGAATTGACAGCCTCCACAGCTGGGCAAGGTTGACTACTCAACAACGCTGCAGATACCGCAAACAGACTCCGCTACAGAACCCGTAGCACAAGCGCTGCTGCACTGTCGAACGAGTCACTCGCCCTGGTAATGAGAAAGTCCAACCGCTTCCGTGATAAACTCTGAGCATAACAACGCAAAGGTACCCCTCGTCCAGATTCCTCACCACTACCTAAAAATCCGCCATTGCACCCCACGGTTCCCACACACGGACAATTAGGCTGGAGTTTTTCCACCACAATCCCACCAAAGACACAGAACTCATCCAAATACTTCTGTCAGGTACACTGAAGGGGGCTTGGCGAGGCTGGCAGAGACGGGATATGACATCGCCATTACAATCCCCAGGGTCTAATCAATGCGCGAGAGTGTGTGAAAGCATCGGAACCTAAGCTGGAAGAGTCCGTTACTCCTCGGAACCGTGGAACTATGACACGATACGGCTCTCGTGGACCACCAGTTGTCGTCAGTTAAGGGACTGGCCGAGATTCCGGAGCTGCTACGAAACCATTTCGATGAACTCCTACAACAGAATCTCCAGCATCCACCATTACAACGCGTCGTCCCTCAACCTCCTCCGCCCCGCGTGCGTTAGAGCTTGGCAGGCATGTCGCATAACAAGCCGAAGAAGTATGAGAATACGAAGATGAAAAAGTAGACATGGCCAAAGCAAAAAGCCGCGAAAAAAACCAAAAGCTAGAGGTTGCTCTTCGTCGACTTTGTCTTCGTCTTCTTTTTTTCGTCCATGAGCGTGCGTTCATCGTCGTTCGTCGTCGTCATCGTCCTTTGTTGGGCTTTAGCTCTTGGCTCTCCATCCACTTCCTTCCACAAAGAAGTATCTTTCATTAATTTAAAACTAAAATATCAAATAAATCGGAAAATAAAATCCTGATAAACCACGCGTGCTTTTAAAATATATAAAAATAAATAAATGAACTGGAATAATTGGTAATTTATACGTTGTAGTAAGATGCTATTCTACAATGATTGAATAATTACACCATCAGATACCATTCATATATTGTCACTGCAGGGTGTTTGATAATGTAACTAATCAATCATTGCAGAATCATTCTTATGTTCATCATTTCGTTTGAAACGTTGTTCAAGTATATATAATCACATATATATATATATATATATATATATATCATTTTAGAATAAAAAATTAGATATTTACCCAATTCAAAAGTATCATTATTACAACAAAAAAAAATGAAAATGAAAATGAAAATGAAAATCTTAACTAAATGAATGTAAAATCTAAGATTAACAAACTTTCTCTTTGTTAATACAAGAAGTTAATGAATCCATTTATATGGACACACAGCGGATGGATTTTTATGCACACAGGCAAGAATTGTACTATTGTTTCATGACATGATAAGCATCGCACTTGAGTGTGTTTGTTTCCTTTCCAGCTTACCATTTGGTACTGTAGGTAGCTCTTGGATTAGGTCTTGTGAGAACTGAGCAGGAATTGAAGCATTCCTTTGAGAAATTCCCATCAGAAAAAAGAGAAAGGTTCGAACTCCACTAACATGGAATGAAATGCATCAACAGCTTGTTGTTGTGATCTCAGGGACATATCTCAAGCACCGTGGGAGCAGACACATGCTCCGGAGGCAAACATCATCGACAGAGAATCTTCCTGTTCTAAGAATAGCACCTATTTCATGCACCTCTCAGCAAAATCACACAAAAGACCTCGCCTTGGCACGAAATCCAAGAGCAATGAGAAACATCCACTGAAGACCATCTCTTTCTGTAAAATTAACTTATCGACATCACGCTGTTTGTGGAAGGAAGTGGATCTAGGCATCATAGTCAATTAAGTTACTTGACATCTTGGCACAACTCACCAAGCTTGCCAATAAACTTTACACACCTAATGTACTGACTGACAGAAACATGGATACAAAGTAGATACCAGGGCATAAGTGACACAGAACTGAAGCTCAAAACGATCTCAAATGGTCATTTCTAGATGCACTGTTTGCCAGAGTTAGCGTTTTCTTGCAGATAATGCAGTCAGCTTTGGGAACCCCTGAATGCGGAGACTAAACCTACTAAAGCATTTTGAGTTTGAAATAAGATTTATTCATACAAGCCTCCACAAATTTGAGGCCAAGGAACCTTGTCAGGCAACTTCGACGTACCCTCTTTCACAAGTGTGGAGAAACTGAGCTACTGATGCAGGGGCAAATCCTCCGTCAAGGGTTAACTGAGAAGCCCCCAGACAACCAAGACATCGCTGGCACACGGACATAGTCATGACAGATAAATAAGTTGATGAATGTTTACTTGACGAAAGTGCGAATAAGTGGAGGTAATGGGTTGTCGGCACATGTATCAAGACAGGGTTTTTATCACATCCACATGCAACCTGAGAATTAACCACAAACGTGCTAATATAGATGGAGAGTTGATCGTGAATGTCAACAATTGCCCGCCTCAAAAAATCAAAGTAAGTACCATAGTTCTTGAACACCATTCTGATCACTAAAATGTTCATGTTCGATAGCGTTGAAATTAGACCTGCACTTCGATAGAAAACGAACAGAAAATAAATATATATATATATATGTTCCATTTGCAGCTCATTCATACCCTTGTATGTTTAAATGAAACCCAAAACCTCACGAAAAAAATCGAATTCGCGAATTGTTTATGAGTTTGTCACGTGTAGTCTTCCACAAACCATCTACTTGTCACAACCATGGACTTTCACAAACTCAGATTTGCATGCTGCATATACTCGTTTCAGAGATTTAGTTAAAAGCTGCAGGACACATTAAAACAGAATGTACTTGGTCAACACTTTCTATGACATATACGATGCTACCATTTCCTCCGATGAGACTTGCTTATGAGGAGTTGAAGTATTAGATAAAACCACGATTACTTCGCTCAGGCTACGAGCGCTGGCAGGTGCACAATGGCATCCGATACGTACCTACACGTCAACGAGCCATCGAAGAGGGACAAGATCTAATCACCTATTCAATGTGTTCCTCCTCAAGGAACGCTCTGATTTCAGCATTATTTTGCACAGGTCAACATTCGTTTCTCAAGTTTGAACACAATATCATAAATATACGTCTTCCGGCAAGATAGTGATATGATGAACAACTTTAAATATTTCAGAGACCTGCATCTCTGGATGAAGAACTCTCGTGCATGTCTGGCATGTTTGACACTAAAAGTTATCGCCCTCATTCAGTGAAAACTACTTGCGCACCGAGTATGGAGGACATTGCTGCGATCTATTATCCAACTACAATTCAATCATACTTTTCATAAGGTACATCTATGATTATTCCTTCGTCGGGAATGGCTGCACCCTCTTCAAGTAAAAAGACATCTTTAAATCGACACCACACTTACATTCCATACTGGTCTTACTTTCCAACAACTTTCAATCTTACACTTCGTGACTCTCAATTGGGTGTCTCCTTCCAGAGGCAATTCACCGAATAGACAGCACACCCTCGCAAAAAAAAAAAAAAAAAAAAAAAAAAAAAACTCGATGTCAGATTTAATGTCAAGCATAGCGATGGTGACAAAAATGTAAGTGCTGCATATGATGGCACTAGTAAATTCAAAAGAAGGCAGAAACCTCCACACACAAGTTCACATGCTGGTGCGCATGATGAAAGCTTCCAACCCTTACCGCATTTGCCCTTACATTTACATCCTTTGGCTTCTGAACAAGCTGGCGTAGGTCTGAGAGTTAACACGATTCACAGAAATGTAGATTGCTATAACCATAATCTCGACACGTTTCGTGCGAAAAGAATCATCAATGAGCGCGAGAACCAGACTTAATAAAAGATACCTAGGAGACTCTTTATACCAGGTCCTGTCATTTTTCACGAAAACATTATGCTAGGGTTAGGTTCTTGTAGTGCTCTCTCTGCCTTCGGTACACCATCCACTGTATAACACGATAGATGATCCTCCCCAAGGCTATACACAGGGAGGTATATATTCAGCTGTACTTCCAGATCGGCAGCGACTGTTTGAGGACTTGCACTTGAAAATATTTTGACAATGCTTTGAAAATGAAACTAGTTGGTCTTGCCTTCCAGAAGCATGGCCCTGAACTATCTTAAATTACGCATCCTCCCGGAATTGAACTTAAACTGGACATTTTCCCCGAACAGAATCCAACAGAGCAACGGCTACATCTGTGGAGGAGAACCCGGCACGCTTCATAGAAGCATTTCCTTACGACGTCCTTTCAACTGCCTTCGTTATGGCAATAACCTCTTCGCAAGCATTTGGTAGAAATAAAATCGTCTTGAAGTACAACATAAGGTTAACCTGACAGCCACCACAACTCAAGTGGTTAACATACGGCTACCTCAGCCGGAGCAATGGCGTGCGTGACTGGTCAGAAAGGACAATACCGTAAACCAGGTTCTAGACACTCTGGTCAACAAAAACAAAAATAAAACGTGTCCGACCATACATATTCCTGCAGTTCTTTTTCAGAACCCGAGCATCGAATTACGTCCATCCAGCAAACGAATTTACAATGGTAAGGTAGATTCGCTAAATGATTCGTTCAGAGACTCATAAGCCGAGAGAGTTCAGGGAACGCAGCAGCGAGACATATTCGTGATGCATAAAACACGCCCACGCATCCACTACGACCAAAGAAACACGGCGCAGAGTGCAACTGCTCCTCTACAAACAGCAGCATCCCCCCCCAGAAAAAACACTATCCGGTCTCAACACAGTCGCTAATTTGTGCCACCATCGTCAGAGCAGCCGAATCCTGACGCCGCGATTAGCATGGCCCCTCGTCGGCGGACGAGAATGTCCCTCCCCTCTCCTCGCCATTTGCGCCGTCCATACCCTCCCCTCGATCGACGGCGTGTGTTCTAGCATGGACTGGTTTTGTAGATCCCTTTCAGCTTCGTCTCCTCTGCATCTACGGAACTGATCATTTAATCTAACTGATTTGGACATTATCAAATCTGAGTGACTGGGGTGATTTTTAGAAGTATCGGTGCCTGGCTCTTGGCGCGGAACAGCTCTTGAAGTATCGAATGAGTGTGGAATATTCGTATTTTGTGAACTTTAGCTGCCTATTGCCATGTCACCGGTGTGACGTGGCACCTTGCGGGTAACAACCACATAGATACTCTAAACCCTAAACCCACACAAACTGGTATAACATATAAACTAAATCCATTAAAGGAAACAAATTCGTATATGGGTTAACTTGTTCTTGTTCAAAAAGTAAAAGTTTCGTTTTGATGTATAAATATGGCATCTAAACTGTAACTTTTAAAATCATTACAATTTTAAAATGTGATCTTCTTTTGTTAAAAAATTGTATTAAGCAAGTAAATTAAGTAACGATAATAATAGATTGTGTAGTAATTGTCTTTTTTCATTGTCATTGTAAGGATTAAGTCAAACCAATGTACACCAAGCTTATCAAAATCATACTTGAATGTGTAGACAATTGTGTTGAGTTTTAAAACATGTTTGAAGGATGTTCAAAGAGATATTGATAGTTCAGATATACTTATCTCGAAATAGGTGCTATTGTCTAGTCACAAAAATAAAAATAAAAATGTCTACACAAAAATATTAATACAATAAACAGAAAATGATGGAATTCATCTCAAGTTTGGAAGAAAAAGAGAGGTGTGAAGATTGTAGGTAAAGATGCATGTACAAAGTAGATGATCATTTGATCAATACAAGCTAAATTATAAATGTTTGTTCATTTTGATATTGCATAATTAGTGCACAACGCACTCTGAGTAAGAAGGGTGTATTTGTTTTGTCAACCTCACTTATCAATATAAGATTCGGAGTAAGTTTGTAAAAGGAATGGAAGAACTTACACATGTTTTGTTCATTTGCAGAACGTATTATTAAAATATTCAAAAAATAGTGCTTTGCTAAAATAGCTTGTGGTGTTTGTGATGGAAAAACTCAAAAAAAAAAAAATACGCATGTCATCATTGCTTTTAAAAATATTTTTGATAAAATATAATAACCCAGCTTCTATTGAAATTTCACAACATTTTTACTTTTTACATACACAATATTTTAAAATATAACACAACTCAAAACCATAAGACTCATCTATTGTATGTATATATATATATATATATATTTACTGTATTTTTACAGTTTCATATTTATGCATATTTTATGTATAATATATTATAAATAAATTATGTTTTCATGTAGTTTCTATCCTATTTAATATTTATTGAATTTTATGTGTGTTATTAATGAAACAAATTTGCATTGTTTTTAGCTACATTGTTTTCATAGTCAATCGTTTCTGTATTTTGAATTATTGTACATCAATAACTCCATTAAACATGTCACTTCCAAATCAAAGCACATGCCTCTAATTAGTTTTAAGTTAAATTTTGAATGTTTTTTAATTGTATGTATGTATGTATGTATGTATTATTGATGGGTTCTAAACAACAATTGTTATTCGTTGTTGAAGAGTCAAAAAAACTTCTTTAAAATTGCAGAAAATGTGAAGAGTGATATTTTAAAAGTGAAAAAGTAAAGTAAAGTAAAGTAAAAAGTATACATGGTTGCATTAATTGCAAGCAAAAAAATTATGAAATAGACTATAATGTATTTTCATCTTTTTGATTGACCTCTATCCCTGACAGTTTATTATTAACCTTGTCAAAAACAATTACTAGAAAAATCAAAACTTGAGAGAAACTAGAAACGGCAGAATTTGCATAAAATGAGAGAAAAGGTAGATGCATTGACATTAGAAGGGTACAATCAGTGGATACATTTGTCAACTATATTTTGATCAGTACTATTTTCTCAGTGTTCAATTAGTATCAACCTTCTAAATAAAATATTACAGATCACATAGAAACTGTATTATTTTTTCTTTGTGAGGTTGCTTGAAGTATTATGGCATTTCGCAAAGACGACCCTACAATAAAAGTCGGAGTAGAATTTTTAGAAAGAAATCAACATATTGTTGTATCATCCACAGAAAAATGAATTAATGGTTCAAAATTGCATTGTTTTGTTCCTACTTTTTAAGATTAAAAGTCTCTCTCTCTATATATATACACATCAGTCTGTGTATGCGAATTGCATGATTTTATATGCAAATTTTATAACTACCATAATCTACCAAAATCCTACAACAAGAAATTCAACCTATACATTTATGAATAAATACACTCTTTTCTTATTTTATACATGTAATTTATCTGTTTAATTTATTTAAGTAAGGCGTTTTGATTCTTTTATCAACTAGCTGGTCAACATACTTGATTCATGCAAATGAGAAGTTGACCGTTATCAAAAACAAGAATTCGACTGCTATATATTGAATTTTAAAATTTTACACTTTACCGCTTCTGATTATAATTTTTATTGTACTGGTGATGTCACAATTAAGACTATTTGTTTGATAACATTATAGAGAGGTTCCAGTGCTTCCATTCAAAAGTAATCTTTTTGTTGTGTAATAAATGTGATAAGTGACTGGTGGTTGTATGGTTGCTTTGAAGGCACCCATGGCATGTACACTTTCACATTTTACCTTTTACTAGATATATATAATCGTACACATATCAAAATAATAGATGAACTAAAATTTAAAGTCTTCTATGTTCATTTATTGCCGAAGGTTAAAAACTGGGTTGAAATTTATTCTACGAGTGACATCGTAACATACACATTCACAATTGTTTTCACAGAGGGAGATTTCTTCAACAAAAATTCAATCTAAAATTCACAAGAAACAGAAAAAGATCGAACAAAAGCACAGAAGTTTATTTTTATTCAATGTCAAAACATGTCGCCGCAATATTCTGTTAATGAAAAAACATTATCAAATGTTCAGTCTAAAATTTCACGCTCTCACCATTTTGTTTTTGTAGTTGTTGGAAAGCTGAAACCCAGAAGACATTCTGGCGATTTTATCAAAACTGGGTATGAACTTAAAAATAACACCTTACGAAAAAACATTATTTTTAACACAACCCATATAAATAGCAATTACTGTGATAAAGAATAGACGACGAAGAAATGAATGGGAGGAGTTCAACGTGCAGAAGTATTTTATACGACACATATACGCAAACGAAGGGAGGGAGGGAGGGGGTGACCCGAGGGATCAAAGGGTCGAGAGCGGGGGGCGGGGGTAGGGATCACCGCTCAGAGAGCAGCGTCAACTTGGCTTGGCGGAGGAACAGGGACAAAGTATGATGAAAAGCATCCATAAGTTCGGATGAATGTGAGCGGGCATCGGGATGGCATGCGAGGAGGAAGCGGGCCCCACAAGGGGGGGGGGGGTTGCAGAGCTCGGCGTGCAGTGAGTCATGAATGGCCGTCTGGGCCTCTCAATCTTGAGTCCCACCTTACCTCTCTCTGTTCCTGCTCTTGCACTGCTCTTTTCTGGTCTGGACTGGCTCAGCTCGACTCCGCGATCCTACTCCTCCATCCCTCCCCTCTCTGCGAGTTTCCGACTCTGCACTCGTTCTATGCTGCTGCTGCTCGCAATTCTCCACTTCTCTTATCTTCATCGACGTGCTTTGGCTTCTTTTTCTTCCTCGGTTTTGTCGTTCAGCTCCTCCCGACCCCCGGTTTAGAGTTCGTTGCGGTTTTGGAGGGATTCGGTTCTTGAGTTAGCGCGCCACTCGGGTCTCGCTCATCCCGATTAGGTTTGTCCCATCATGACATTGCAGGATTCTCAACTCAGGATTCGCCGTGATTTGAGGTTTTGAGGTTTGGAGCCCTCGACGGGATACGGAGGATGAGATCGCCGTTTCGGGAGTCTTTAGAGTTCGGAAGGTCAGGCTCTCCAAGCCGCGGGAATGGCAAGCGTGGATGTTAACAGGTAATTTTCTCTGTGATTGCGCAATCAGGTGTTTTGGATGGCTCTTCATTGCGGTGTTTCGGACTCTTCTTGAAGGAGCCCTAGGTTTTTGACTCGATCAGGATCCGAGTGCTTGGATTGTGGAGCGTGCCGTTGATCTCGGCGATTTTTATTGTAGGTTTTTGGTATGTGGCATTGCACCACGTGATTTGTTACACCGACATTTTGGTCGGTATTGATGTCGACGTTCACAATGATTTTGTATTTGTCGACTTTTTCATTTTTTTTCTGGTAGTAAGGCGGCCTTGATGTCTCGATGGCTCGAACAGTGGATGAGGAGAGCGTTTAGTCTGACGACCGGATCTTTGGGCTGTGGAGGTTCACGAGTCTCAGTGCGCGGATTTCTGAGTAGGTCCTAAACCTAGCTTTGAAAGGAAAGCGTGAGCTATTACATTGGATAGACTTGCCCCTTCTAGATCTTTATGGTCGTGAAAGATTCAGAGCTATCCATTATGCTCCTCGCTAACCAGGCTCCTGCACAATGTTAAAAGTCAACATGTGAAGCATTGATTCCAGGAACGAAGTCAAAGTTGGTTACACTTGAAGGCTTTGGTTTCAGTGCTCCTGCGAAGTGTTCTAGAATTAAAAAGTCCCTTGAGTACGAGTTGTAGGGTTTTCCATGCATACCAAGAAGTTGCATTAACGTCACTTCTTTGATGTAGGATTGGTTTCAGAGTTATTAATTACAAATGCGGCTTGAAGTCGTCTTCCCACATTGTACTGTACTTACGAATGCTGTGTACTAAAGCATGAATTTGTCAGTCAGTGTCGATTTGCGGGGCATTATTAGACGGTGGTTTTGGTGAATGTTTTTGTCAAGTAATTCCTCCTATCTGTCTCGGCCTGCACCACTACTTTCCTATAGATGTCAAATATGAAACGCACGGTTCTAATATGCCGACAATGTGGTGAGGTCTTCATAGTGGTGGTAGCTGAAGAGTCTAAGCAGGTTATTAATATCATCGATGATTGTAACGATCCTCTGTTTCCCACAGTTCTATGTGTGATTTGAAGTTTCAGTACTAATAGCTTTTGGTAGCACTGATGAATGGTTTTCCAGAGTACATCTCATGTTTTAATGGGATTTTGTTGCTCACATTGCAGAAGGTGGGATACGTCTGTGCTAGACCTCGCCTTTCTCATGACCGTGGCTTCGTCATTCCCAACTTCACAAGATAATGATTTAGTGAGAGCCTCCAAAGCGTAGTCAGAGACTTCAATGGGTTTGCATGGTGCATTTTTGGATGCAGAGCGGCGTTAGAATTTGAGATGTTTTGGTAGAACAACTCAGTCGTAAGCATGGTACATGCTTGGAAGTCTTGCTGGGAAATTAGACGTAACTTCGAGAGAGGTGACAGGTGCTGATTGTCACACTTGTGAGCATATCACTCTAGATAGTTTGAAGTTGACTATTTTAGCGTGGAGCAATAATGCCTCTTGTGAGGTATGAGGTGCGGTGTGAGCACAGTTTGGCCAATCCAGAGTTGTATCGTTCCGCTGCTCGCGATGACCCTGAAAGTTTGTTGGAAGGTGTTGCCATGGCGGGACTTGTTGGTATTGTCCGCCAGCTTGGAGATCTCGCTGAGTAAGTTCCATGTCCTTGCATTTATTGAAAGAAAATGATTCCAATGTTCTGGAAGGGAAAGCTGATACTTTCTGCGGCGTGCCAGAAGAGGACTTATTGCACATAATGTACTCCGCTGTCTTTACGAATGTACAGAAGTCATTTGTCCTGGTTTAGCCTTTACTAACCAGATAAGTTGTTGCTCTTACGGGGTTCAAATGAATGGTTGATCTGCAGAATTAGCAGAGAACGCAGAGCAATCCTTCTATTATGAAGTGTGATTACAATCCTTTCGTAGTACTATTAGTAGTTTTTATTTCAATTATATTAGCATCCAACGAAGGAACTGGATCAATGTTCAAAAAATGCACAAAATAGTGTCATGGGACTCTTTGCCTGCGATGCTGTTGTTACGTCATAAAATATTTGACGGTTTAGGGCTAGCGTTCCAATACCTCACAATAGTTGATTGTCATCTTCTTCTGATGCTCGAGTACGATAAGAAGTTAATGTAGTTTGGGCGCTTTGTATGAACAGATTCGCAGCAGAGATATTTTGTGGCCTACATGACGAACTGATGACTATAGGATCACGAGGTCACGATCTGAACATGCGAGTGCAGCAGTTAGAGGATGAGCTACCAGCAGTGGAAAGGGCTTTGCTCTCAGAGCCGAACCAGCTCCGATTTGCTTATACCAACGGTGCATTGACGTACTTTTTAGTTATCAGCATGGGGGAGGGGAATCAAGATAATGAGTATCATGATGATTAGCATATGTATTTTTGTTTTCCAAGTTCTAAATATGAAAAATTTAAATTCTCAATATTCTGAAGTTTTACCTTTTATCCCGACTTTAAACTTTTTGAAATTGAATTTACATTTCATGTACATGGGTTTTAAAACTGTTTCTTATGTCTTTCTGCTGCAGGCTCTGATTGGCATGCCAGTATACGAAGCGATCAGAACCACTGCACATCGGGTGATTTACCACGCTTTGTTCGGAATTATTATGAAGAATGCCGAGGCCCTCCTCAACTTTTTCTTCTTGACAAGTATGGCTTTTCTTGTGTCTGGTTGTCAATTTCTAATAGCGTTTCCAGTCTACAGATCCCAACTCATGCCATGTTTGGTTGTTTTAGATGAAAAATCAATGGTGATGCTGATTGAGATTTACCAGATTGGACTTGATTTTTCCCCGATTTCACTTCATGTTGATTGCTGCCTTCTTGTTTCTTTATAGTTCAATCCAAGTGTTCTTAAGTTTACAGCAGTTTTTATCCTTGCTGAGATCATGCACATTCTTGTCTGGTAACAGGTTCGATGTGTCTGGAGTTGGAGCTTGCTTGAAGAGATTCACAGATCCTTCTTTTTTCAAGCTTGAATGGGCTAGCACTGAGTTGTTGAGAGCCCAGCGAGAACAGCGTGACAAGAAAGCACGTAGAGAGAAGGTTAGAACCAAATGAGAATTTATTTCCATCTCACCGTAGAATACAGTGCTTCACACTTTATCCTTAGAAAGTCCAAGAACCGCATGCGTAATTATTATTTTATACATGCATAGCTTCTGGAGTACCAACCTCATCTTTACCTACATATCTTCACTATGCTGCAATGAGTGAAATCGCAATCATACATTACATACCATATCTCTGCTTATGCTTGATGCCTTATTTGTCAACAGAAGAAGGGTAGGCGATCGAAGACTGGACATCCAACAGCTGCTATCAATCAGATTCCGGCCAGGTCTATTTTACCCTACTCGTCACACTTGTAAACAACGATACTAGGTGTGGTTATTTCTTGCGTTTGTCTTCATAGAACAACTCAGATATCAAGAGTAGATAGTTGATAAATCATAGATAGTAATGCACCTGCATTTTGTGAGCACCAAAATGAATTCATCATACACAGTTGACAAGAATTAAATCAAGTGGTCTCGGATGCAGGGTACGGTATGGCTCTGCAAGCCTTGAAGATTTGGAAGGACTTCCGCATGATTTAGCCTCTGTTTTGAAAGTCGAAATTCCAGTTCCTTCTCATCTGGGTGCCAATCGCGAACCTAGCCCTCTAACACCAAGTGGTGTTCCACGTGATTCTAAAGCTATATTGGTTGAAGATCCATCTCTACCTACGGTGAAAACTGTTCAAGTTTCAGCGAGTTCAAAAAAATCCCAAGGAATCAAGTCTGTCAGAATCAGCGCTACGGATCCTGAGAGTGCTACTCCCTCAGGGAGCACACCGAAACGTAGTGAATCAGATGATACAGTAAGAAGTTCGGCGGATAGAATTTCCAAAATCATTGAGCAGGAGGATCGTGCTGCTGCACCTGATGTGGGACACGTTAGAGTCCTCGAGACCAAGGAGGTGAAATCCTCTGTTGAGTCGGGAGATGCTGCTGACGGCGTCCAAGTTTTGTCCATAGACTCGAGAGCCACAAATGGGTTATTACGAGAGGATTCAGAAGCACAGACGAAGCCTCGTTCAGTAAGAACTCCGTTAGGGACGCCAAGAGCGAATGCGAGAGGTGAATTTTCTATGGATCTCAGGGAAGGAGATAAACATTCTGGTAACACACTACGTGGCACGGACTCGCCTATGCCTCTGAAATCCTCTAGGAGAAGCGCTTATATGGATGCCCACGATTCCGTACGCTTGTCAGGGAAGTTTCTGTGGAGGAAGAATCTGGATGGTGACGACGCGTCTCCGATGGGTGGCAGATTTTCGAGGCAAGTCTCAATGGCAAGGTCTGGCATTTCTGGGAGCGAATATGATGAATTTGTTGATGCGCCGTCTAGAATTGGTTCTGAAGGGGAGTCCGACTTCGATTCTCCTGGAAGTGTTCACAGAGCGACACATTTCAATGGAGATGCGCTCAATAATGTAGCTTTACAGAATCATGTCGAGGCTCAGAAAACCTACATTCCGCCAGGCATGAAGCTCACGGAACCTTCACCAACTCCCGGAGCATTAGTAGAAATATCAGAAGTCGTTACTGAGACCAAAGTCGTCCAAATGGCTGATAATTCTAGTAATGGGACGGTTCTGAAAAGTCTCTCGCCTATTTCTATGGCGTTGAACGAAGATTCTACTAAATCCTCATCTTTCTTAGGGCAGTCTGATACCTCTGCTGATTACGCCTTAGTCCGGGATCAACAATCAGTAGCTCAGAAACCAGACAACCGTTCTGGTGAAGTTATGAAGTCTCAAGGAAATGGAAACCTAGATTCTCATATTGAGGTTGTGTCTGCTATTGCTATTCCCAAGGACATGGAGGAATCTGATCTACTATTTAAGGGCATTGATCGGACTTCCTCTTCCTTGGACTCTTTGCCAAGTGCTACAAGCCCAAGTCATGAAGGACGTGATGCTCTGCAGCCTAGCTTCACTATGTCCTCTCGCCATTCTATTTCAAGTGAGCTGATCTCAGTATCTAGTGACTCAGAGCCTACTTCTCCTATATCACCAAAATCTCCAGCCTTCCATGCGCTCTACTCGCCTCGAGGGTCACCTCCTAGGTCGTCGAATAATATAGTTAACTCTCCACCCACGGCTTACCTGAGGTCTTCTCCTCCAAGATCACATGAGTCCAACTGCAGTAGCCTTTCTGTTGAAGAGGTGCCTGTGCTCTCTGAATCACCTACATCTTTTCCTAGATCTCCTCACCATGCATTAGTTTCAGAGAGAGATTCCTTACCTTATGAAGTTGTTCCCCTAGAATCGGAGCCAGTATGTCTTCCTAGTCAACCCGTAGCTCAACTCTACCCCTTGCCTACACTATCTATGAGTCCGGATCGTGAAAGTCCTTCGAATTCTGGAGAATTGTGCTGCCCTGTAATTGCAGGCTTTGGTGGGCCTCCTAGTCCTCGAAAGGATGGTGAATCGGTTCACACTGCGCCTGCTGGCGAGGGTGATCATCCTGTTCTTCAGCTGAGTTCAACATTAAAGCATGACACTGTGACTCGATTAAAAGAACCTTCTGATCGTTACCAACCAGCACCGCCTCCTTTAGTTAGTTCGAATGGAGGTGTAACTCCTAGATCTCCTCAATGTGCAACTCCTAGATATTCAGTTTTTTCTGAGTCTACAAGGTCCTCTTTGGTACTACCTTCTCGTGCTGCCGACAGTTCTGGATCAAGTGCACCCTCCAGTCCTTATGGGAGTCCTAAGAAGAGTTTCCAAAGGATTTTCTTGTCAAGTCCGAGTGCACTTGCCTCACCTAGTCCTCTTCGAAATTCCGTGGATGATGCTTCTTCTTATCCTCGAAGAGATGAAAATAGTGCCCCTTCGAGTCCATCAGGTAGTGTCATCATCAAAGACAGCCCTCCAGAAAGTCCTCGATCATCTGACAACGGAAGCGAATGTGAAAGCCGTGATTTTGATGCAATACAAGGTCGACCTGAAATGTCTGCCTCAGCTGGACTTTTCAGTCAGGTGATGAAGGAAACTTTATCAAAGCGAGAAGTTAATGCTGATGATGTCTCATCTATCGTGAGCGAAAAAGTTAAATCCCCGCAGGCTTCAGCAACAAAGCCGGATAACAACTTAAACTCACTGTTCAGTTCTATCTCACACTCTTCATCAAAGCATCCAGAGGCGGCTGTCGAGATAGCTTCAGAATTTTCCTTGGATAGTTCTATGACAGATGGCTCAGCCGATCACTTCATTTCTGAGAAGGTACGCATGGAAAATCATCTTTAATATGCAGTTTTTAAGATGCTACATGTTTGCTACTATTGTTCTTGCCTTTAAAGCTTTATAGTAACTGTGTTTTCTTCATACTTCCGTATATATCATTCGCACTAATTTTCCCGCTCTTCTCCTTCTGTTAATCATATTCTCTTGCTGATACAGTCAATTTTCTGTGTTCCATTGCTTGTCAGAAGATATTGTCATCCGGAAATCCATTCTCCAGTCCACAGGTGGACCCTCTTCCTACTACTTTGAAGCCCATTTCAACGAGGTCAACTACCAAATCTTATAGAGGTTTGGCATCTAGTTCTTCGCCAGATTCACCTGGAAAGGATGAGCAATTCTCAAGTGTTCAGTGGCGTGGTAAAGGAGTAACTCCAGCAACACCGCCTCGGACCGCCTTCAAGCTACCATATCAACCATCGTTGCGATCTCCATTACGTTCTCCCTTACGTTCGCCCTTGCATACGCCTAGGTCATACTTTGCAGAGACCGGCTCATTGAAATGGCTTGGCAGAGTTGATTCTGGTCTTTCTCCCAAGCCAGATTTTTCGCTTCCTCCAAATCTTGTGACTCACTCTGAAACCAGTTCACCCGCTTGTTCTCCCCCCCCACAGCTGGATCTGGATTCTCCAACAAAAAGTACCGTATCCTCAGAAGTCTCTGAAGATTTGGGTTCTGCTCGTACCACAGTTGTTCATCATTACATTGAAGGCGAGAAAGAGGAACGGTATCTTTTACCTGATTCTACCAATGTTTCATCCTCAACGTCCTTTGTGAATGCAGGTCATGTCTCACCATTGAGACGCTATATTCAGGATGATTATGATGATGGACATGTTGCACCAAATGAGCGTGAAAGAGTGGTACCTAATGCAACAAGCAATTCTGACCCATCGTATGCGTCAAGTTCTTCAGTCGAGGATGTTCTTTCTACCGAAGCAATAGATGTAAAAGAATCTAATGTCCTCACCAGGAAAGCAGAAATTGAGCAATTAGCTTTGTCAAGTGGTACAGTGGTCTCGAATGAATCAATTCCTATCACTTCCTGGTCTGCGGCTTCCTCTCCAGATAACGAAAATGGTGATGGATTTCAGCATGCGGGTGAAGTGGATATGGATGATGCAGCTCACTCTTTTCAGCAATCAAGGGCGTCCTCTTCTCAAAGGGCTGAAGATGGTCAAGAACTTGAGATTTCCAGGAATGCAGATTCGGACGTTCGGTCTTTATACAGCAAACATGGGTCATTATCCTTATCTGAAGAATTTGAGAGTAGATCTCAACTAGAAGATGTGAATGCTACACGTCTTATTGCTGCAGCTCAACGTAATCAAGAATCATTAGGTGTTTATGATGCAGTTCATGGCAATGAGAATTTTTCATCTTCAATTGAGGAGGCAGTAAGAAATCAGGTTTTTGCACCACCCGACGGAGTAGACGGTTCAAGTTTTAGAAGACAGTCAGATGAGCAGACATTGCCTTCTATTTCTACTTCAGAGCCAGAGAACAACAACAAGTCTGTAAACTGGGACAGGACAGACGCTACAGCGGAAGCTCAATCCATGGAGTCTCTAGAGTTGCAGAATAGTTCTAACACCCATGATGCTCTTTCTGCTTCCATTGCGCAACAGGACAGAAATATGGTAAGTCCTCATTTGTGTGTAATAATCCTCTTGCTGTGGACCGAGGATCGGTTTTTGTAGGCTCTATTCGATTCCCCGTTAACATGTTTACATTTCATCAACCGGATTTCCTCATTCAAACTTCATTTGCAAGAACTTGGATGTTTTTAAGGACATTACGCTGAGCTGTTTTTGTTAAATATAATTGCAGCCCAAAGTGCTCACGTTCCAGGAATCTACGTTAAGGCCTCCGCCTCCTGATGAAAGAACATTGTTTCGGGATCAAATGAGAACCTCGGTAGGTGGAATTACTTTCGAGTAATTTTTATTTTTATTTTTTATGTCTATACACTGGTTTCGTGTTTGCCTATTTTATGATCCTTCGTTGTGTATTGCAGTCTTTCAATCTTCGTCGGGCTGATAGTATGGAGAAGAAAGAGGCTGTACACCGGCCAGTTGCGAACATCAACGTCGCTGCTATACTTGAAAAGGCGAATGCTATAAGACAGGTACTTCTGCACCTTCATACAATCTAAATTTTAAGCAGAACTGGTTTGTTCAACTGATTTTGCTGTAGATGTGAGCATTCGTTTCCTCTTATGGACACCGATGTTTTCTCGCTATCGCAATTCGTTTGTACAGTTGTGTTTCGATTATTTTGTATGACATCTTCGAGCTTTGATTTGCCCTTTTATTTATTTTTTATTTCTTTGTTGGCGAACAATCCGAGCGCACCGTTGAGAAATAACACCTACGTGGACATCATACTCTGATCTGGTGTTTATTTAATGCCGAAATTCAACTATTTATTTTTTTATGATCATATCGTTGGACAGACTCGATGATCTCACTCATTTGCCTTAAATCTTGTAGGCCTTCGCTGGAAGTGACGATGATGACGATGGAGATGACGATTGGAGTGATTCGTAAAACGTTTGAATTCTAACGTTATTTGTACCGATATTATGCAAAGCTTGGGTTCTGTAGTTAAAATCCCTCGTTAGCATGGACTTGTCGAAGGACCATGAAACCCATTCACAAAGAATAGTTAACTCTTTTTGAGTTACTTTTTCCCTCTGATTCTTCAGCACTCCTTAATAGCCGAAACTTGGTTGATTCTCTCGCCCTGCGGCATCGAGCAGTATAGGCGCCTGATGGTGAAGTGGGTTGTTTCCGACATTTCCCCTTTGCAGGTTTGAAGAGACACCAAGAACCTTGTAGTTTGAATATTCCAACCCCAAGTCTTAATGTTGCCTCAAGTTTATGACGGACTTATAGATGGTTTACGACTTGTGGAGTGGTCCTTCGGTTGGTGCAATACAGTAACTTTGTAATTAGTATACAAGATGTTCGAAGCTATGGAATGGTTTTCAACTTGGATATTGAGGACAACTTACTCCTTGCCATTGTCTTATGGATGTTCTATCGTGGGATTTGTAAGTGTTCTTTGTATCATCTTTTAAGGATATGCGAGACATCGCAATTGTGACCCTTCAATTCTGACACTTGTCTCTTTTTCTTCTTACACTTGCCATCTTTAAGCTTTGCTACTTGTATTACCCTAACTGCAGACTCGTTTCCACCAGTCATCAGAATGCCCTGTTTGTTGCTAATTCTGTGATTTTGAAAGGATCATCTCGTGACTAGATTATGATCATTATCGGTTGGAACCTGTTTCTCGAGAAGGGTTCTGGAATGTAACACTTAAGGCAATCACTTCTATAAGAGGACGATTATCAAGCCCTGATCCTCCTTCATTACTACAGCTCCACCGGACCGTGATACCCCATCAATCGAGACTGCACATTCATTTGTCAAAGTTCGCACGTACTCGGCTACGATCTCGCAAGGTTGACAACGGTCCGTAATGCCATGGAGGAGAAAACCGCAAATCTGGGCCCTGCAAGTTCTAGAGGTGTGTAAGGTGGTGCAGTGGTTGACGGAGTGGTATTGCTGACGACAGCAGTCCATGCTCCCCAGGTCCTGCAGGTATGCTATTACTTGAGCGCAGTCCGTGGTTAACCCCGAGTTTTCATCTGCATTGCACAGAGGTGCTATGAAGTCTGCGTGTATACCTGATCAACAACCAACAGTCAAATTGTTGGGATCTCGTGACATTTTTGGTTTGCATTTGTAGAACTGAAAAACATAACTTTCTACATATAAAGCGGTGGGCATGGTGTGCACAAATTCCTAACCATAAATTGCTCGAAGAAGAACCAAAGCCCACATTACGACCTCACAAAGTCTTGTCATTTCTCGAAATGAAAACCACGCGAATTGATCAGCAGCGCAGGTACGTAGATCTGACTCGATAACTGTCAAAGGCTATGGAAGGCTTTAGATCATTCATTCCCCAGGTCTCATAGGCTATATGGCTACGGTACACATGTGGATAAGCAGGATTTGCAGAAAGTCTAGAAAATCGTCTACACAAATTGTGCCAACCCATCGTGACTAGTCTGCAACATGGGCACCAACATTATGTGCCACCAATTGTCATCTCGGAGCATTATGTAGACTTACAGTTGCCTTTCTAGTCTCCAGCTTGTGCGTAGACTGCGAGTTGTGTAGGGGAGGTTGGTGATAAAAAGAGGCAACCTCGGCCACATGAAATGCATGAGAAACCTTCTTTGGAAACAGATCACGCTTGCCGTATGAGCTGTTAAATACATGGTTACAGGCCATAAGAACAAAGCTCGGTGCTTATCACATGGCATTTGCTTCATGCTTGTCACCTGTCTCGATTGGTTTTGGCTGCATGGCATTTGGGTTAGCTAGTATGATGTCAGTTTGTTAGATAATTTAATGACTGGTTGAGATCTCTCCTTTGAAGCTTGGACACCGTGGATACGAGCGGCATATTCCTAGCACTCTCAACTCCGTTCAATACCCAGTGAGTGTCGTTCGTGTGCATTGCTGGATAGTTGTTCTTCAACCAAATCCACCGAGTGGAGTTTCTATGTTTTTTTTAATGGTGTGCAAGAGCCCCCTTTAATGAACCTCAAACTATTGAACTTGTTCACATGAACGACAATAAAATCGAACTGTTGTATTAACTGTTGTACCATTATTAATATTTACAATTATGTAAAGTTGTGTTATACTACAAATAAATAATGAAATGAATGATTAGTTGGTCAAATTTATAAAAAAAATTACTCTAATTTATATATTTTTTACAATTAGGATTCAAAACTATTATAAAAAATAAGGTATTTTGTATTTGAGAATTAAGCAAAAGAGCTTTTGTATTCTAAGATAACACAAATGAGATGTATATGGAGTATGGGAAGGCAAGTATGTTAAAGAAGAAAGTAGATTTAAGTTTACAAAAAAATAATAATGCAAAGATGGAATATACATTTTTTAATAATGAAGGAAAACAATGCAATCTTAGAAAATGTTGGAGATTCCAAAAGAAAGATAAGTCACATGCAACAAAAAAAATTTCATTGAGAAACTTTTGAATAGCTATGTACAATGAAAATTTTCATTGTGGATTTCTTTTGTTGAAAATGCAACCTCGTGAGGCACAAGTAAATATAAATATTATTTTTTAGAAAAAAAATACTATATGATAATTATTGCTTTATAAGATTAAATTTTTATAATAAAAATTCTCAAAATAACTAAGTTAATTGAATAGACAAATACAAGGAACTACAATAGAAGAAACAAAACATAGAGAGATAATCCCTTTTTCTTAATGCATATTCAAATGAATATTTAAAAAAAAAAAATATTTTTTTTCTTTAAATTGTATTTTTGTAAGGTTGTATACTTTTTAAATTTAATTCTAAGAAAATCTAGATTTTCATACATCAAAATGCCTAAGAGCAAAGAAAATCCCAATATAGGCTTTTAACTTTATTAGATAAGATTTTAATAATTGTCCTTCAAGTAGCAACCACTTTGGAATAAGCCTTAATAACTTGTGATAAAAATAAAATATGGATGGAACCTAGATTATTTTAGTGATAGCTAAAAAATTTAAATTCAAGTTACGAATCCTATTATAAAAAAGAAGAAGAGTTTTTTTGCAATTAATTACAACAACCTTTGCATAAGGTATAGATATTACTTACAGACACAAGATAAAGATTACAAAAAATACAAAGTATTGTGTAAACAAAGATTTTTACATACAACATATTGAGTATTACAAATCAATCATAAAGTATGTCATTTAAATCAAATACAAATGCACATCCAACACACTTTCAAGGAAAGATTAGAAATCTTCATCAAACTAAATCAAGATATCTTTCACACCACAAAAAGAGAATCCAAGAGTACAAGTGTAAAAATAAGAAAAATCCTAAAGCTTTATTAAAATGGCTAAAATACCATAGTCAAGAAAATCTTATAATAAGTTTTCTCACTTTCAAAATCACTCACAAGACTTGATTTGATAAGAATATCAAGTCAAGGATTTTTCTCCAATTAAATATTCAAATCCTAATTAACATGAAAAAAGTCAATTAACAAAAAAATTATCAATGGATTAAAAATCAAATTAAAGTACATACATTCAATGTGATTTGGCATCCAATGTAATATCATGTGATAATTGTTGTGTAAACAAAGATTATTACACACAATACATCGAATACTACAAACTAATCATAAAGTATGTCATTTAAATCAAATATAAATGCACACCTAAGACACTCTCAAGTGCCCTTCCTAGTTGATTAAAAGCCCATCCAATCAACTAAGACCATAAAACAAATATTGTTGAAGATAAATATCATAATGGTGTGAATGCCAAATTATACTCTTCTAAATTAATATTGTAGCTGCTTGACCACCGGAATATGTAACAAAATAAATAGAAAAAATATTCAATCCTTATCAAAAGATAAAACATGGCTAAAAGACTTCCTACAATGAGGACAAATCCAATCTCTTGATAGGAGAGTCAAAAGAGGTGGTGTCAAATATGCCATATGCCATCTATATTGGCATTGATTAATTAAAGCATGGTAGTAATTCCTTTCTTTTTATCACATACAAAACAAGGAAGACCAATTGATACAATTGCCAACTTAGGATGTATAGAATCATCAATAGAAACATGACAAAGAGCACAATTCTTTGAATGCTCCCAACATTCTTGTCCATCTTTGCCTTCTAACAATAAAATACTACTAAACAATATATCTTTTATATATAGAATTATGCACCTTGCCTTAACATCAAGTATTGTAGGCACTTCAAGTTGCAAATATACATGATTTCTTTTGAAGAATCTTTGCAATTGAGGTTGATAAGCTCTACTACAAATGTGAGCATATTATAAAGCTTTGCAATGTTGAATAATAGACAAATTCTTCATAGCTATAGGCATGGCTTGTTTAAAAAATTCTACCTGATTATATAGACATTAAGTCCAAACATCAAGATTATCTAGGTCTATAATTGGAATTAGCTTCTCACATATAGAGCTGGGTAGAATTCATACTAAAACTGATAAGAACTATAAGATGCCAAAGATGCTTGTCTACTAAAATGATGATCCATTTGCAATATCAAGTTCCAATCACAATAATTGCCATGAAATAATCCATACTTTCATAAACCACGTTTGATAGTTTGAGTAACTTGTTCAACTAGGCCATTTGCATCAAGATGATTTTTGGATGTAGTGTGATGATCTATCAAAGCTTTACTACATAAAACTTTAAAACTCTCAAAATACTCTTTTCTTTGATCTATTAAAACTTCAGAAAGTGCTCCAAAATGTACCAATACTCGATCAAAAAAAGCCATAGCTGCCAATTTTGAAGAATTTTGTGGTAAAGACACAAATTCAATCAACTTGCAAAAATTCTCTACCATCACCAACACGTATTTAGCTCCATATGTGGTAATAACAAGTGGTCTAAGAAAGTCCAAAGATCAACAATAATATAAATTCATGATAGGTAACGGCTTCAATTGAGGTAATAAGGTGTTAAAGCTTAATCAAAATTGATTACATACTTTATATTGATAAATATATGTAGCCACTTGTTGATACATATCACTCTATTAATATTAATAACATAATATAGAATGTGTCTTGTATACTCTAAAATAACTAAGTTCTTCATGTATTTGGTGTATTGAAGAGGCTCTTTGATTTGGCCTTCAACCTATATGCCTAGCTCTATCAGGCTATATACAAAATAATAAATTTTTCTTCCAACAAAATCTTATTATTCAATGACTAATCCTATCTCTTTTCATGTTAGAGATAGTTGAAAGAAATGTTCCTTATTAAAACTTGTATAAGACTATAAGATCTTTCTATACATTGCTAATTACTTGATTCTTATCTAATTCTTCATCTAGATTTTTGTCAAGAACTATGCTTGTAGAACTTAACATTAAAGTCAAATATGTGACTACATGCTATCTAAGAATTGCCTCTTCATTACAATTTCCATGCCATGGAGCTCTGATCAAGTCTTCTTTTGAAAGACATGGATTGTAAGAAAGTCCATTGGCATCCAAATTGGTAATGCTTGCTTGATGCACAACCTCAAAGTCATGTTTTTGAAGCAAGAAGGCCCATTCTGCAAGCTTGTCAGTAAGCTTGTTTGATTCTATAAGCCACTTCTAAGGTTGATGGTTGGTTACCAATATGAAATGTTGACCTTATAAATAAGATCAAAAGTGAGGAATGGCTTAAACTACTGCCAAAGCTTCTCTTTCATAAGATGAGTAATTTGACTCCACATTGTTATTAATTCTAAAAGCAAATTCAATAATATATTTTCATCTTACATTATCTTTTTATATCAAGACTGCTTCCAATTCTATTGCACTCCAATTTGTGTGTAGTTGAAAAGATCTATTCCCATTTGAATGTCAAAGTATTAGAATTAAATCCAAATTTTACTTCAATGCATTGAATATATATTGTTATTTATGACTTCAAATCCATGATTGAGCTTTATTTTTAAAAATAGTAAAAGGCTTTGCAATGATGCTAAAGTTTTTAACAAATCTTTGATAATACTTTCTCAATTATAAGAAATTCTTAAGTTGTGAAATATTACTTGATGTTGGAATTTTCTACAAGGCATTTACCTTTGCTTATTGTATGCTAAGACTTCCTAAGATAATCATGTAATCAAAGTATGGTAATCATTTATAGAAGAATTTATATTTCTTTTGATGCAAGCATAATTTTTATTATTATAATTAATCAAATATTTCTTGTAATTACTTTATATGATCTTGCAAGATACTACTAAAAATGATAACATCATCAATGTAGCATCTAACAAATAATAAGCTAGATAAAACTTGTTCTATCACTTTTTGAAATTCAATTGATACATTTTTAAGACCAAATGGAAAGAACTTCTAATGATAGAGCTAATCTTTTTTATCTTGATGAACTCTCCAAAATGTTGTTTTTATCCAATCTCTAATAAATAATAGTAATTGGTGATAATCAAATCTATAATCCAAAGTGTTGAATACTAAAGAGAATCTTATTGCATCAACTAATTCTTTTGATATTGACATTGGATATTAATCAAACTTAGTCTTATTATTGATTAGATAGTAGTCTCCATACATTTGCTT